GTGGGGTTTTTTTCGGCAGGGGACTATGGTGGATGGCTTTAGGCAGGGTGGTACCGTGGACTGTTCCAGAGACAGGTTGAAAATCCTTGTGAATACTCCAGCCAGCTCGTCAGCACAGTCCCTCGGCACACGTCCCGGGACACCATCAGGTCCCGCAGCCTTCCTCGTGTTGACGGCCCGCAGCGTGTGCCTCACCTCGTGCTCCTCTGTTGCGAGGTTCAAGCTGCTGTGGACCGTGGGGTTTGGTGATGCTGTCCCTGGTGGTGTCACCTCGAAGCGGGCAAAGAAGAGGTGCAACTCCTCTGCCAGAGCGGTGTCACCATCAGCAGCTCCGAGGTTGGCCCTGTAGTTGGTGAGGTGCTGAACTCCCTGCCACACCCGCCTGCTGTCGTTACTGTCCAGGCGTTCCTCAATCCTCCTCCTGTAGTCTGCTTTGGCCTCACGGATGCCTCTCTTCAGGTTAGCTCGAGCTGTGCTGTAGAGAGCTTTGTCTCGGGATTTGAAGGCGATGTTCCTCTCCTTCACCCGCTGCTGGACCTCCCCGGTCATCCAGGGCTTCTGGTTGGGGTAGACCCGAATGCGTTTGTCCACAGTGACAGTGTCTATGCATCTTCTTTGGTTCTTTCGGTAAAGTCATGTAGAATGAGAATAAAATAATAAATTGATAAAATAAAATAACACAATAATATTCTCACGACGTTTCGGCCACAACACAAGCGGCCTTCATCAGGTGAAGGGACGAGACTGTCTGGTAGGACAGCGCTGGAGTGAAAAAGCCACGTTCAGATCACAACCTTTAAGCTGTGTGAGAACGTGGCTTTTTCACTCCAGCGCTGTCCTACCAGACAGTCTTGTCCCTTCACCTGATGAAGGCCGCTTGTGTTGTGGCCGAAACGTCGTGAGAATATTATTGTGTTATTTTATTTTATCAATTTATTATTTTATTCTCATTCCACGTGACTTTACCGAAAGAACCAAAGAAGATGAATCATTGCAGTCACGAAAGCTTTAAATCGAAGTGTCTATGCAGTTTTTAATGTAGCACAATACACTCTCTGTGAACACCTCCAGGTCCTGATGTTCGAAGACCCCCCCAGTTGGTCCTATCAAAGCAGTCCTGCAGCTGCTGGGTGGCACCCTCAGGCCAGGTGGCGACAGTTTTTTGTGATGGTAGGAGCCGTTTTCTTGATGGGGGCGTATGCAGGGATCAAAAGCAGAGGCAAATGGTCAGACTGGCCCAGGTGTGGTAGTGGTCTAGCCCTGTAGCCTAGTTTGATGTTGGTGTAGACCTTGTCCAGAGTCTTAGTTCCCCTAGTAGCACACTTAACATGCTGGTGGGATTTAGGGAGTGCTGGCCTTTAAGTCTGCACGGTTGAAATCCCCTGCTATAATCTGCACGGCGTCAGGATACTTGCTCTGCTGAATGCTAATGCTGCCATGTAAAAGTCCAATTGCCGAGTTAGCATTAGCATTCGGTGGGATGTAAACAGCGGTTATCATGACCACAGTAAACTCTCTTGGGAGGTAAATGGGCCTGCATTTAGCAGTCACATACTCCAGATCTGGTGAGCAGTGGCTGTCTGCAGTCACTGTGTTAGTACACCAGCTGTTATTCACGTACACACAGAGCCCCCCCTCCTCTGCTCTTATTGGAGTCTGCTGTTCTGTCATGGCGCTGTGCTGTGTAGCCTGCTGGCTCAATAGCAGAGTCCGGGATGGATGAATGAAGCCAGGTTTGCTGTGAAGAGCAGAATGCAGCTGTCCTTCACTACCTTGTTCGCTGTAGTCTGTAGCCTCAGTTCATCCATTTTGTTCGCGAGGGATCTTGCATTCGTGAGAAATAGGCTGGGTAGCGGTGGTTTGAGTGGCTGCCTCCGTAGCCTGGCTAGCGCACCGGCCCTGCAGCCTCGCTTCTGCCTTCTCTCTCTAGGCCGCCTTCGCCTCCTCCCCGCCGGGATGATAATCCACGGAGAGCCTTGGCTTCTCGCCAACTCCACCGGATTCTTGTGCAACTGTGTGCGCCGCCATCTCTCAAGTAGTCCATTAAGCACTAGACTCACGCTATAGCGAGTAGTCCGTCACGCACTAGACTCGCGTTACAGTGAGTAGTCCGTCACGCACTACATTTGCTTCATAGCAAGTAGTCCATTACGCGCTATATTTTCGTTATCGTGAGTAGTCCGTCACGTACTAGATTTGCGTTTTAGCGAGTAGTCCTTCATGCATTAGACTCGTGATATAGCGAGTAGTCCATCACACAGGTGTGAAAACCAACGGTGTGAAATGATGACTGCTTGTGTTGCAGTCGAAACGTCGTGAGAATTTTATTGTTTTATATATGTATTATTTTATTGTTTCCCTTCAACGTGACTTTACCGAAAGAACCAAGAATATAAGTTTTTATCGGCTTTTACATTGTCTAGGGGTATATATCAATCGTGATAACATTTACTGATTCCTTTTGATCAATTATAGGCAATTGTCATGTCTCAGAATTCAGATCTTACCGCAGGATACAGTTCTCAAAATTGAGAAATATGAGGCACGAGTTTGGAAGGAAGCACTCAGTTCATTAATATGAACTTAGATTGACATCGAAAAAAAGAGTGGCACTATTGTACACATGCAAATATAGTCCTCATCAATTCATACTAAATGGTTAGAAAAGTATCAATGATCAAATCACAAAATTACGCTATCAAAGAAGTAAACCATGCTGACACCTCAAAATAACAGTATTCATGCAGATATACGTGCTCATAAATGCATACCAAATGGTTAGAAAAGCCTCAATGATCGAATGCATGATGTGGAGTGGGTGTGTGCGTGTGTGTCAAGGTGGCAGTTGTACATACAATTAACTAATTATGATATGTGGAATGGGTGTGAGTCAATTGATGCTTGTGCGAGGTTGGCATCACAATCTGTAAGCAGTGTGGTTATATGATGAGTGAGTTTATAAGTCGGTGTTCATCTTCTAACTTCTCTACCAGAAACTACTGCTGAATAGTAGGCTTGCTCCACTGCTGGAGGGCGATACGACCACGCTGCCTGCTGCTTGTTCATAGGATTGTCTGCACGTCAGGCAGCTTAAGCACACTGCGGCTTCGCCTGCCGGCACGCTTGTTGCTCATCAGCAGGTTGGTCGCACGTGGCGACACTCGCCCTGACACATTGCGAGTTAGTCACCACTAGTCCGAGTTTGCTGTCCATGCTCGGAGATCAACGGCGTGCAGACAGCCACAGGTTCAGGTGGAAACTGCACCTGACAATGTGGACACTCTCCAAGCCTCTTCACACCTCATGCAATGTCAGTCAGGCTGACTTGTCTACGAACAGAGTTCTTCCAGCTTGTGCACCCTTAATATTGGTGCGTAACTCAAATATCCACCTGAGTAAGTGGCTTTATACCGCAATGCACGCGTTGCCAACAATTCCCTGGCACCTCTTACCTTAGTACTGCTTTATATAAAGCACATTCATTTGCACCTCGATAGTATGCTACTCTGAATATCTTTGTATAAGGGAGAGCTGGATGATGCCACTATGGATGCTTATCAATGATTTTCATCGCAAAACAACTATACAGAGTTTGACTGCAAGAGACTCAACTTGTGAAGAGGAATAAAAAGAAACATTGAACAGCTTTCAGGAACACTTTTTAGTCTGCCTTAGCAAGACGCAAACTCTTTGATACTCGGAGCCTTTACCGCTGCAAGACTGATCAATGCGATGTTTGTCCTGTTATATAGAAATATCTACCTTATTTAATTTATTCCCGAGGCCATGTCGGGGTATGAAGCTGCTCCTAGTCACACCCTGGAGCATCCATAGGATCATCCTGAATTCATCTCTGATGTTTCCGCTCTCTCCTGCCCTTCGGAGGTCATCTCGAGATCTGTGTGAATACCGACCTACCTTAAATTTCTTTTGCGATGTCTATTGGATGATAAAAGTTCGCTCTTAGTTTTGCTTCTTCCATGGTGTGTGTCTGTTGTTGTGTAGCACATGCATTGAGGTGTGAAAACAGCCTCCCTCTCTGATTTGTGTCCTGTTTCTCCTCTCTCCTATTGAGCCTGGTTGGCAGTGGCGGTTTTCTGAACTGGTTCTGGTTCCCCCCCCCCCTCCCCCAAGGTCGACTCAGCCTTAAAATGAATACATGATGCTGCATGTAAAGATCGCCACTGGAGAGACAAAGGTGGTCGGGCGTGGCTCCGGTTATACACCCTTGAATACATATACATTATTTGGTCGTGGAAAATTAGCATAAAACATCTACATATTGTCCTGAATGCTCCTGATCAACACTTCATCATGAACTGCCATAATTCCATTATCAACTTTCACATTTGTAACCCAGACCTTATGCCACGTATTTTTTTTATAATCGTGATTTTTAATAAGATCATGCAAAATGGTAACATTTCACCTTTTGGCCCTCGGCTGCATTGTCATGTAGTAGTACATCATATCATCAAGGTCACAATGTAATACCATGATGTTTTGGAATATTCATATGCGGTCATCACAGAGTGTTTTCACTCTCCAAATGCAAAGACTTGTTACTAATTAAAACAGCTCAAGATGTTGAGTGTGGCGGGTTTCCGATCATGGTAACTTTTAAAGCAGCAGAGTGCCCATATTATGGTCTTTCTGGTAATGTCTGTGTTCGATCAAGGAAAGAGTTTGACATGTTCGTGCCACTTATTATCATCCCAAGCTATCAAGCCTGTTTTGATTTCCAATGTCTCACGAGTCCTAATTGGTTGTTTGTCACATTTGTTTTTTCAACTCACAACGCGATCAATGCACATGTCTACAAGGAACTATGACATTCAAAATAGACATCACATCTCATTTTTTTTGGAAAAGGCGAATATACAACAGTGTTGGCGACAGGAATTGGTTGATACAGATCTATATATATGGTACTGGTAATGTGTGGAATTTAATTGTGGTATACTGTGCAGTGTCGACCTAGCAATATGTATTACGGTCTTGATCTGTGGGGAAGGTGGCGACACTAGCCGGGGTCCAGCAGACTTCACCACAGAAGGAAGGACAGCTTTGCTGCCAAGGCCTTAATAAACCCACCGACATGGTCATTATGAACCCGCCAACATGGCCCTGAAGGGCCCCATGAAAACAACCGTTAGGAACCCCTACCCACACCGCTGTTATAAATCTCCCCGACAATACCGCTTTAAATTCCCCCGACACTGCCATTATAAACCACCCTCCGACGGCACGGCCTTTATGAAGGGGGGTGCTGGTAGTGCGTTAGGCCCCTCTCCATAGAGAGCACAAGCGTGGAATTCGCACGGCCAGTTAGACCAAGCATAGCGGACTGACGTCACGGCCCTGTTGGTGCCAATGCAGGTGGAGATGTCGAGGAATACACTGTCGGCTTGTACGTCGAGGATTGGAGCTCGTTGCCAGTCTAGGTCGAGACACTGACTGAGCACTTGGGAACAGCAGATCTGCGATCGAGAGGAGAGTAGAGGAGGGGAGGGGAAAAAGAGGGTAGACGTTCAGAGAGGATGGAGGAAAGGAGAGTGAAGGAGGAAGAATAGGGGGGAGGAGAGAGATTATGATTATACAATGTAGCAGGGTAATGTGCAGTGAACTGCAGTTGAAGAATAAACGATCTTTGATCGTACTGGAAGTATAGCAAAGCACTTAAAACAATGCGATAAAATAGTAATACAGTGGTACCTCGGAGATCGAACTTAATTCGTTCCAAGACCGTGTTTGAACACCGAATTGTTCAAACACCGAATCAATTTTCCCCATAAGAATGAATAAAAATAGCATTAATTGGTTCCCCATCCAAGGATGATCCTATTATGGGCCGTTTTTACACAAAGGTTACAATTTTAAAATACAGTACAGTACATAAAAGCATACAAAAACAAGAAACACAATTAATATTATTATTATTAGAATAAATTAACATTGAACTTCACTTTACCTGTAGTAAGGAGAGTGGATGGCTTGAGTGGAAGGTGGTGAGGAGGAGGGGAGGAGGAGGTGTCAGTGTTGCTTGGAAGGGGAGTCCCCCTCCATAAACACGTTGGGTAACTGCCCTTCTGTGTGGTTCCTTCTTCTCTTTACCTTTTTTCGAGCACTAACTGTGATTCACTTGAGGGCCTTTTTACTAAAAACTGATCAAGAGAGGATTGTTTCTGCCTCCGTTTTAAGATGTTTCTAAAATTACTCAATGCATTATCATTATAAAAATCGCCTGCTCTACTGGCTATTGCCTTATCTCGATGATATTTTGCTACAAAATTGTGTAACTCAGCCCATTTTGCCACCTTTGAAAAAGGGCTTTCGTGTAGAGTTTTTAAAAGTTGAAAATTACCTGTTGGTCCATGGGCTGTATGAGAGGAGTCGTATTGGGGAGCAGGAACTTTACAGTGATAAAGGACGAGAGCCACGCGTAAACTGGGTCATTTGCCTTTGTCCCGGTCGCTCTGGCTACGCGTCTCGTCCTAAACATGTTTTTCCAGTTGTTCGACCTCCGAATTTTTGTTCGATGTCCGGGGCAAAAAAGGGTCGAAAATTTTGTTCGATCACCGAATTGTTCGTGTTCTGGGACGTTCGATCTCCGAGGTACCACTGTACACAACAACAAAGGTATACTAAAACCGATAACACGAACATCATGTAATATGACCTCTGACCTGAAAGTCGCCCCGTCCCCATTTGCGGTGGATCAGCTTCTGTCCATATTTGATGACGAGCATCTGGGATTTCAGGTTCACAGTGGCCACCTCTGGGAAGGGGCCCTGGAATAAGGAGGAACTGTGATTGTAGGCTACAGCCAGTGCACCTAGCAGCAGACGGGAGGCAACCTCCTGCTTGTAGCGTGGGTGAATCCTACACAGAGAGATACATCATATACTCCATTAATATATACTACGCTACAATATATACTACACTATTCGACACTACGTTATATACTACACTATTTCATACTATACACTACACTATTACATGCTACACTATTTGCTACACTATTTACTACACTATGCCGCACAGCAGAACTCCATCAATTTGCTATCCAACAATCAGAAAATTTCTTTAAGTCAAGGCAAGCCCGCAGTTTGCGAAAACTCAAATTTTACACGGGGTCAGTGATCAAAATATCTGCGGCAAAATGCTAGATTTTAGGATATTTTCTGTGAGCAGCCAATTCTTCTTGTAATCTACAGTGCACTGCTCGCTCCTAAGATTGTTATACTATTTGGAAAGCAATGTACATTTCCTAGAGGCCAGGTGGCCTCGATGGAGTCTCCTCTATGAAGGATGCACTTGAAGTGCACGATGAAGTCTGCTTTTTGTGCAGGCTTGCCCGTTAGTTGGCTAGATAGAGGAGAGGAGGAGAAAGAAGGGAGGGGAGTCATCTTAATTACAAAGCAGAAAATATATGTTTATTTGTGTGAAGTAGCAAAAACTCTCGAACGCTGAGGTCTGGCGTCATGAAATTTGCACAGCTTATTCTGTCTGGAATTTCTAATTCAACGCGACTATTTTCAGCTCGCAACCTCATTCCCTTCCCGAGTTGCCAAAATCAACCTTACGTATAAGTGTGTTAAAGCCTCCACAGTGTTACCACGTGATGCATTACTCATAATACTCCCACAGTGTTACCACGTGATGCATTACTCACAATACCCCCACAGTGTTACCACGTCATACATTACTCGTAATACCCCAACAGTGTTACCACGTGATACATTACTCATAATACCCCCACAGTGTTACCACGTGATGCATTACTAATAACACCCCCACAGTGTTATCACGTGACACATAACTCATAATACCCCCACAGTGTTACCACGTGATACATTACTCATAATACCCCCACAGTGTCACCACGTCATACATTACTCATAATACCCCCACAGTGTCACCACGTCATATATTACTCATAATACCCCCACAGTGTTACCACGTGATACATTACTCATAATACCCCCACAGTGTTACCACGTGATGCATTACTAATAACACCCCCACAGTGTTACCACGTGTAACATAACTCACAATACCCCCACAGTGTTACCACGTGATACATTTACTCATAATACCCCCACAGTGTTACCACGTGACACAACTCATAATACCCCCACAGTGTTACCATGTGATGCATTACTCACAATACCACCACAGTGTTATCACGTGTTGCATTACTCACAATACCCCCACGGTGTTACCACGTGATGCATTACTCACAATACCCCCACGGTTTTACCACGTGATACATTACTCACAATACCCCCACAGTGTTACCATGTGATGCATTGTTCATCAATTCCAGACAGAATAAGCTGTGCAAATTTCATGACGGCAGAGCTCAGCATTCGAGACCTTACGTATGAAATCGACCTTATGTATAAGTGTTTTAAGGTTGAATGTCCTCGAGTGAAAAACATCCGATTTAGAAAAAAAATCTCGCCACGTTCATTCTTAAGAATTTTGTTCAGTCAGATATTCTTATAATTGTAAAAGTGTTCTAACGTTGTGTTTCCTCATCGCGTATTTCATTAGTGAAATATTTACAATGTAAGTTTGTGTAAATTCAAGGAAACCTTTTGAGATTTTTGAATAAGGAAACGCTCGGTTAAATAAATATTGCTGAGCCGAATCAACACGGAGTAAAAATTGAATGTTTGCTTGATAACGTTGTTGTGACATTTCCTACAGATTCCATACCGTACATTTCTTTGCTTATACTCGACGAATATTTTTGACAGCAATGCCCAAAAAGAAGAGATCAATTGTTTTTTTTTCATTTCATCAAACTCAAATCAACACAAAACCGTCAAAAGCTGTCAAGAGCCAAACAATCGGAGGAGAAAAGACAACAAGCACGTGAAGTGCACAAAACTCAACAAGCTGTTCGACGAAGCAACGAAACTGCTGAGGAAACAGGGGCACGACTTGCTGAACAACGATCGCGAACTGCTGCAACGCGAAGCGACGAGACTGCTGAAGAGGCGAACGAGTGCCGAACGTCAGAACGCCTGCGAGCTTCAAACTCGAGAGCTATTGAAAGCGGGGAGCAGCGACATGAACGAATTTCAAAGTGATTTAATTGCTCACCAGAACCGAATTTTGGCTGACGCTGTTGAAACTCGCAAAGGTCGACTGCGGCAGGAGAGAATTCGACAAGGCGCCTCGACGGGCAAGAAACTGGCTATGTTTGAAGTATGAAACATTCAATTATGATCCTGAATTGGATTATTCAAACTTTCCTCCGATTCATCACTAGTAGCATGACTTTGAAGTGCAATTTTTTGCAATGCGCTGAAGTGTGAAGGCGAGACACCAGGATTGTGCTGTTCCGGTCGAAAGATTTGGTTTGCCAGAGCTTCCGGAATTGCCAGAGCCATTGCAGAGCCTTATGAACGGTGATCATCCAATGTCGAAAGAATTTCTAAGCCCGATCCGCAAATACAATTGCAGTTTTCAAATGACTTCGTTTGGAACATCTGTGCCTATGCCTCAGTCAACTGGATTCATGCCAACTTTTAAAATTCAAGGTGAAGTGTACCACAAGGCTGGCTCTCTCTCCTATCGCTGCCCAACGAAGAGTCAAAGTTCCTACAAATGTACTTTCTTGGCGACGAAGAAACTGAAGTGCAACGTCGTTGTGCTGTGATTCCTGGCACAAACAAAAGTTTGATCGCTTCCTTGCAAAAGATGCTGCACGAAAACAATCACTACGTTCAGCATTTCACAATGGCACTTGATGACAATCCAAGTGAAGACCTAAAGACCGTTATTAAGGCAAACAAGAAACCAGCACAAGGCCATGCACGTGTCTTCAATGCACCGGAAGTCAATGAAGTCGCCATCATCATTGCTGGAAATGATTTTGAAAAGCGAGATATTGTTTTGACTCTGCGTAAACAATGACGTTAAGAGTGTTTCCGAGACACATTTCATATGATGCTTTGCAATATCTGCTGATGTTTCCACGTGGCGAGGACGGATATGCCATCAACATCCATCAAGTTAAGCCAACAAAATAGTGTCGGCAATGTCGTACTACGCCTATCGTTTGATGGTGCGATCGAATGAGAACCAATTGCTAAATTACCGACAATTACTGCATCAATATTTGGTTGACATGTATGCCAAGATTGAGACTGAAAGATTGCTCTTCATCCGATTGAACCAAAAAAAGCTTCGTGTCGATGATTACATTCACTTGAAAGATGCGATTGTGAACGATGGCAATGCAGAAAAGCACGGTAAGTTTTTTGTTTTGTGATTTTCTTTGAACCTATCTACGTGACTTTACCGAAAGACCCAATAATAAGTTAGTGATTTTACCATAAACATATACCGGAGGGCTACCAAACATGCATGAATATGCACAAGACGCAATCACCAACATTCGTCATGGAGGCAAGCCGTCATTATTCATCACGTACACGTTAAATCCGAATTGCAAAGAGAAGGAAGATCATTTGATTAATGGCCAATCAAAATGGGACCAACATGATTTGGTGCAATAATTTTCCAGCAGAAGCTCATCAAATTCATGAATATTTTCATCAAAGGCGAACTTTTTGGCTCTGTTAAATATTATCTTTATCCCTTCGAGTGGCAAAAGAGAGGTCTTCCACATGCACACATTTTGATTTGGTTGTTGAATGGACTCAAAACAAATCAAATAGACGACATCATCTCTGCAGAAATTCCCAATCCCGACACTGATAAGAAGCTTCACGACATCCTCTTTAAAAACATGGTACATGGTCCTTGCGGCGCTTTGAGTTGACAATCTCTATGCATGATCGATAAGATGTGCAGCAAGATATTTCCGCGTCAATTCACAAGGAAACGCAAACATTAACAGATGGCTCCCCCGTCGTATCGTCGCCGTAAACCTGAAGACGGTGGACAAACGACAACCATCAGAATGAATTCTAGATTTAAAGCTTTCGTGACTGCTAGGATCCATACTCTTTGGTTCTATTGGGTAAAGTCAAATAGTTAAATCTAGAATTGATAACCTCTATGGGGAGGGCTTTCACCTATCTGTTAAAGCTTTTAACAGACAACGGGACAAGAAGTCACAGCTCATCGCAGCGATGTCCTCCAGACAGTCTCGTCCCTTCACCTGATGAAGGCTGCTTGTGTTCTGGCTGAAACGTCGTGATTTTTTGTTATTTTATTTTTTTACCTACGTGACTTTACCCAATAGAACCAAAGAGTATCAGAATGAAGTTGGAGGATGTGGAAATTGATAATCGCTGGATTGTTTCATAGAGTCCTTTGCTTCTGAAGATGTTCGATACCCACATCAACGTTGAGTGCTGCAACTCAGTGAAATCGATCAAATACATCCTCACGTATGTCCACAAGGGATCCGATTAAGGAGTTTTTACTATGACACGTAACAATGCGGAAATTGATTAAATCTCGGAGGACCAAGCAGGGCCGGTACATCTCCAGTAATGAAGCGGCGTGGCGCATTTTCGGATTTCCGATCTACGAGCGATACCCGACAGTCGTGCATCTTCATGTTCACCTCGAATATGGTCAGCGCATCTATTTTGACCTAGAAAATTTGCAAAATCTTCTGGCAAATCCACAAAACACAACATTGACAGGATTCTTCGAGCTACGCAAAACAGACGATTTTACAAAAACACTGCTCTATTGCGAAGTTCTGAAGTATTACACATGGGACAAGTCAAAGAAAGTCTTCAGTCGATGCAAACAAAGTGCAATTGTTGCAGGACATGTCGGAATTCTATCTGGAAACGCTCTTGGCCATGTTTACACAGTCCACATGAGGAACTTCTATTGCTACTACTTGAGAATGTTCTTGTACAAAAGTCAAAGGCCCAACTTGCTTCAAGAATCTCCGAACAGTCGATGGAGTTGAGCGCGACACGTATCATGCAGCTTGCCTGGCATTGCGACTACTAGAGAAACGACATTCAATGGGACGAGACATTGAAGGAAGCGAAGGAATCGGATTCACTGTAAAAAAATCAGAACTCTCTTCGCAATCATTCTGTTTTGTGAACCATCAAATCCTAAAGCACTTTGGGAGAGCCACCAAAGACAGCATGTCTGAAAACATTTTGAATAAACTACGACGAGATAATCCTCATGACTTTGGAATTCATTGATGACATCTATAATGAGGCACTTATGATCATTGAAGATAAAGTTTTGAAGATGATTGGAAAGTCTTTGTCGGAGATCGACATGGAAAGTCCTTCACGACAGCAAGCAGTGAACATGACCCTATAAATGCTTCGAGAATTGTGATATGAGTCTGACAAAATTCTGGATTACGTTGCACTGAACGAGCCACTGTTGAATGCAGAGCAACAAATAATTTATAGAGGTTCTACGACGACATTACAGCAACGAAGGCGGAGTAATTTTCATCGACGTGCTTGGAGGAACCTGAAAGACTTTTTTTATCAATTTGTTGCTGGCCCGCATCAGAGGAGAAAGTAAGATTGCACTTGCTGTTGCATCTTCGGGCATCGCTGCAACGTTGATGACTGGAGGACGAACAGCGCATTCAACGCTTAAAATCCTGATTGACTTGGTCCATAATGAAGCGCCCGTTTGCAACATCAAGAGAGGAAGTGAAATGGCCAAAGTACTGCTGCAAGCTAAAGCGTTATTCTGGGATGAAATCTCGATGATGCATAAGCACGGATTTTAGACAGTCAACAGAACACTGCAAGACATTCGTGGCAACAAAAATCTCATGGGCGGTTTGATTGTTGTCCTTGCTGGCGATTTTCGCCAAAGAGGCACGATGGTTGATGAAATCAAAGCCTGCCTGAAATCATCACAGCTTTGGAGAGACGTAACAACAATGAAGCTCACGACCAACATGAGAGTTCAAACATCTGACAGCTTTGACTCCAATAATTTTTCTGAGTATTTGCTCAACATTGGCAATGGCAAGGAAGCAACAAGTGAAACTGGACAAATCAAGCTCTCCAAAGAATTCTGCAAAATGTATCTTTCCCTGAAGAGTCTCATCAATTGCGTGTATCCAAACATTGGAGCAAATCTTCTGAATCGCAAATGGATTAAGGAACGTGCAATTCTGACACCACTAAACGTTAAAGTTGAGAAAATCAACAAATCCATTCATGAAATGATTCAAGCACTTCCACGAACATTCTTCTCCATTGACAAATGTATGAATGAAGACGAAGCGACAAGCTATCTGGTAGAATTTTTGAATACTTTGAATCCGAACGGAATTCCGCCACACAAATTAGTGCTGAAAGTTGGATGTCCCATCATGCTGTGAAAAAATTTTACCCACCAAAACTGTGTCATGGATCAGGACAAACAGTGAAGGCATTAAATGGTCATGTCATCGAGGCATCGATTCTAACTGGTCCATTTGAAGGCGAGCACGTCTTCATTCCAAGGATTAAATTGAATCCAACTGATTTGTCATTTTCATTCAAACGATTACAATTTCCTCTTCGGCTTTCATTTGCAATCACCATTAATACATTTCAGGGACAGTCACTTAAAGTTACGGGCTTGGATTTGACAGACGAATGCTTCTCACATGGACAGCTGTATGTTGGAAGGTCAAGAGCAAAGGATCCAACAAAATTATACATTGTCACTGATGAAGAAATAGAAACCAACAATGTTGTGTACGGCCAAGTGTTGAAATAATCACACTATGAATAAATATTTTTTGATTGAATTAGTTACATATATTTGTTTCGGCTTTTTTCTTTCTTGCAAGCATCAATTCTATTCAGGGTTTTCAGTGAAATATGAGGGAATATGAAATTAATCAAAGACAAGAATCCAAGTCCCGGGCGAAGCCAGGTAGTAAAGGTAATGGACCATAATTCTTGAATCAGTCACTCACCACCCATACTCAGAGTTGCGGTCACACAAGTCGATGGTCACGGCCATGAAGGTTTTTGGCATTTGCGAGTTCGGGGAGAAACCGTAGTCTGCAGACTGGTGCCAGCGAATGTGTGGATACGAGTCCGTGGTGTCATCTGGGTCACTGGTGGAGATCTAACGACAATGGGAAACAGACACCCAGAGAACAATCGGGTAAAGAGATATGGGGAAAGATAAATGAGGAGAGAAATGTTGAGAGATATGGTAAGAGAGAAAGCGAGGGAGAAGTGACAGGAAAAGCTATATGGAGACAAACATGGGGTCAACGATGTTGAACGAGATGGGATAAAGGCCTTGGGGCGAGATAGAGAAATAATGTTTATAAAGATGGACCAATATGATAAACACTCGTGTCATTTTGTATTGCCATTAGGGGCTCACCCAAGAGAAACCCGGCCACATTTATGAAAGGGTTTCCCAAAAGTTGATGACAAAAAAAAACAAGCACGTAAAAATAACCCTTTTCAGCCATGGTGATAAAGTCAAACACTCAAATCATGCTGATCATTATAATTTACCGGCAATGGTCAATCCACTTACCTGCACAAATCCAAAGGGCAGAAGCGGGTCTGTGTTGCCATTGGTGGCTGTGTGGAATTCCTGACGCCAGTCGTTAATCATGGCCGGGAATCTGCAGTTGTAGAGCTCATTGTTGTACTCAGCGTTTTTCTCACCTGCCCAATGAACAAGAAATAGAGAAGTGCATGTACATGGTGGCACTTGCTTACAACACCGCAATATCTCAAAGAGCCTTATATTAACATTTCAACCATCTTATTGCCCATCAACAGTCGACCCTCGGGGCCCAAACAGTTTCAGTTGTATGACTCAAGGTGAAAGCCTGTAAATTGTCACAGACTCGTGCAAGAATCCCATAGACTCATAGGGAGGCCCATAGACTCACACAGATATACAGCCAGACCTCAGCATTCAATATTCATTTCTGGAGAAGTTAGCACTAATTGATGCAGCACTAAAAGGTGTCATTAAACATTGTATACTACATGGGGATGTGTTCTGGACAGCATTATTTCTTATGTATGAGCAATATATGAGGGCTTCTTTGGGGTAGAAGTAATACTGCTTATAATACAGATGGTATAATTATTTCAGAAGTAAAATAATAATATAATTTAACGTCAGTAAGTATTACGTACTCTACTTGTACAAGGGAGCGGTGGGAGACGAGGTTGGAGAAGCTGCTGCGCTGCCAGTCCAGGAATTTCTCAAAGACCCCCAGGACCTTCGTAATCTTAGTGATGCCGTCTGTGTAAATTCATGTGGTGAGGCTTATTTTAGGTGGATCCTGAGACTCTTTATCACCTGGCTAAACAAATCGATTTTTTTATGTAATCGTGACTACGAATTGTAATAATTGAATCGTGGGGGGCGGTGGGGGTCTGTTTGGCTCAGTGTACATCACTCATTGGCTAAGCGAATGATGGGGGCGGCTATGTTTCATCGGCCAGCACTACTGCATGTTCTTACTTGTGTAGTGTTAATACCGCCGGCTGGTGGACAGGAGGGGCAACTGTGGTGGACAGATTGTACACATGCCGGTGAGGGCATGCACGGGGTGTGAGCAGAGGGGAGGAACTAGGGTAAGGGTCACGGAGGACCCCGTCTGGAGGCCCCTGGAACCTGCTAGCGGGTTTGAGAAGAGAGGCGCAGTCAGGGCGGAGCCAGGGCCACGCTGGGAGCATAAAAGAAGCTGAGAATGGGTGGCTCGAGGCTGCCAGTTATGGGAATGGACTCATCTCGTAGTTGCTGTCGTCTCGTCACCATCGTCGCTGCCGTCTCCGCTAGATATTGCACTACGAAGGATAGTAGTTGGCTATCTCAGTCAGCACCGTGAGTGTTAGATGGCTAGTATTATGTACAGGCGAGCTCCTGTGGAGCGTGTGCGGACGAGACCACGAAAGTTGTTAATAAAGAAAGTGCCTCCTAGAAACTCTGTCTGAATCGTTGACACTACACTTGTAAGCAATGTTTAGATATTTTTATTTAAATTTTTTGGAAGCATTTTATCCAGATCAAAGAGTGCTTTTTCGATTCGGCATTCTACGGGGTTGTGCCAAGCCCAAGTCTACCTGTACATACACGGAGACCCATACACTCACACAATAACAATTTAACATTTTAAGGTACATTTTGTCTATAGATTAGCACGTTTGGGAGCTGGACCAGAAGCTCCTGGTCCCATTTGGAATACAGGAGGTCTGGTGGGCTGGTTCTGCCTCCACCTCAAGAGGTGGACAGTGTCCTCCTCCACTCAGGGTAGGAAACTGAACAAAAGAATGAAGGGGCATTGAAAAGTGGTAACTCTATGTTGGAAGCAGTGAATCTTAGGAAAGTGCAAGCTGCGAGTTCCAGGAATGGTGGTGGCAGCTTACACTTCTACCAAAGATAGATAAACATAGATGATGACATCTGTGTCATCAGCTGGGCAAGACTTATGAGTCTGATGCATTATATGACCTGTCCCAGGTGCTGGCTAAAGTACCCCCTTGGGATAAAAGCATCTAATTTGGTGACTTTAATGCGATTACTTGGGCAGAAGTGATTGGAAGGCATGTGCCAGATCAGCTGAAAAACAACAGTAAGAGAATGTGATACTTTCTGCAGCCCATGGCCTTGTAATCACTATCACGCTGTTTTAGCATCGGTTCATTCACATGTACTGGATGTACGCCGGGTCGAAGAAAGAACAACTGGTGGATTATGTAGTGATAGAACAGCGAATGAGGCCCATTTCCTTGACACCAAATTACCATCTCTGGAGCTGATGTGCCAACTCACAAACCACTTCAACACGTAGGCTCTTATGATCAATATTATAATGAATGAGAAATCACTCTTTACTCCCATCAAAACCTAAGCTGCAGAACCCAAAAAGGGAAAAAGAGTGATCTCCAATCCAAGTGAATGTATTATTAGATTATTTTAGAATTCCTATAAAGTGCTCGGGGAGGGTTAACTCAGCTGAAATAACATAATGGGGCAAGGTGAGGTTGACCCTGTTTGGGTTGCTGTCTGAATATTGTAAGAAATAACCATCTCATGTGAGTGGCGCCGTCATGCCATCTGTTTAATAAGTACAAATATAGATCCAGAGCCTAAAACCATATAAAATACCAGGCAGAGATGACATCTCAAGTGAACTTCTGAGGGAGATTGGCTATTGTGTGCAGACTGCCCTATATGACATCATTACAAGTGCCGATATTACAAAATGGGTTTCACATGATTGGAAGTATGCCCTTGACCCTCTACTCAGTTATTAACTACCTTTATCGTAGTGAGAAGGCCCAGGTAAAGCTGCATGGCTCGTAGTCAGAGCGATTCCCTGTTCACCTTGAGATGCAACAGGGATTTATTCTGGCCCCTACACTATTTTGCATCTTTGATGACACAAATTTCGATTTAAAGCTTTCGTGACTGCAATGATTCATCTTCTTTGGTTCTTTCGGTAAAGTCACGTAGAATGAGAATAAAATAATAAATTGATAAAATAAAATAACACAATAATATTCTCACGACGTTTCGGCCACAACACAAGCAGCCTTCATCAGGTGAAGGGGGCGAGACTGTCTGGTAGGACAGCGCTCCAGCGCTCCAGCGCTGTCCTACCAGACAGTCTCGTCCCTTCACCTGATGAAGGCCGCTTGTGTTGTGGCCGAAACGTCGTGAGAATATTATTGTGTTATTTTATTTTATCAATTTATTATTTTATTCTCATTCTACGTGACTTTACCGAAAGAACCAAAGAAGTTTGATGACACAGTTTGGGAATCGTTCAATTGCTGTACAGATACATCTCCATCTGGTATAGATACAATGGGAGGTGGTTTAATGCCCGGTTTTGAATTGGGTGGTTGCCTATTTGTCAACCATGTTATGTATGCTGATGATCTCGTGGTTGGTGCTCACTCTGAGGAGTTGGAGACTGGTGCTGAGCGTGGAGTATGCCACTCAGAGGTGTGGCCTTACCATCAGCCTGACTAAAACAAAGCACCTGCCTAGGTATTTTATTTATGTAATACTCCACTCGCTGAACTTCATATGAGTATTCAGGCAATTTTAGAGAGATTGGAGGAGTTACCTTATTTGGGCAGTGTGCTTATGAAAAGCTTCGGTTTGGCCCCAGAGGTATCACTTTGAATCAGTCGAATAGCCTTATCATATAATCAGCTACTTTAACGACGCGCGGAAGATATCTGACCTGTCACTTCATGCGAAGTTTTCAGTCTTCTTCGCCACAATTATTACGTCTTTTCTACATACTTGTGAAATGTGGTCTTCTTTAACATATGCACTTGACCAAGAAGCTTCTATTTTGTGGGATAGAATAAGTTACATGGGCACGGCACAGGGTAGAGAAGTGGTGGACTGATGTGGTGTGAGAGAATTTGGGGCTGATTACTGATACCAGCAGTGTCAATATCGGCCTATATGGAGGAGGATATTTAATTATGCTAATGGGTAGTTTAAATCAGTCGCCTTCTAACAACAGAGGGTATTAGATTGATGGTCACAACAATGAGCGCAATGCTGGGTAGCTAAAATGCAGCAAGTTGGCACAATGGGCAGCAAATGTGGTGCCAATAATCTCAGTAAACCCATAACACCTGGACCTGTCCCGTCACCTACCAACGAGCCACTGACACTTATTGTAATAGTCTGAAAGTGCTCCTAGCCTGGTGTAGCACCATGGATGGGCTGCACTTGCAGGCAATGACAGGCAGCCCTGACGCAGTTGGGCGGCTATGAGGGATTATACGATCCCTCGCAAACACTCTCAAAGGCTGGGGGGCTGCGGCTGCACTGACCTGCAACGGCAGACATGCGGACCTCAGTGGGGGACTCTGGGGTCTTCCCACGTCCCTCACTGAGGTCAATAACCTCGGCTGAGAAACGGATATAGGGCGAACCTCTGGAGAGGTCCAAACAGTTTAAAAACCGAAGCAGTTGGAGACGGAAGCAGTTGAAGATAACCAGTTGAAGCAAGAAGACCTGCTAGAGTAGGACTCTGAACCCCTAGCTTCGCCGTCCTTTTAAGGGCCGAAGCTCTGTCAGGTCAGTGTTGGACCTGTACCTTGGCTGGGTCAGGTTAGGTAGTTTCACATAGAATATTATAGCCAGAGGACCTGGAGCGTAGTCGGGTTAGGCACGCTACACAGAAGGTGTATAATATACCAAGTGGAAGAGGTCCTCAAGATCAACTGTATGAAGAATTGATGTATAGTAGTTAGGGTACGTGTGGATAATAAAGACGTGCCCCCCCTACGAAGCGCAAAAGCGCTGTGGCAATGTCACTGGCATTAAGTGGCAAATGGCAACTTTTGTTATGTATGTATGAGTGTATGTATGTACCGTAAGGGAAAAAAGAATTTGACCCCCTGCTGATTTTGTACGTTTGCCCACTGACAAAGAAATTATCAGACTATAATTTTTATGGCATGTTTATTTGAACAGTGAGAGACAGAATAACAACAACAAAAATCCAGAAAAACGCATGTCAAAAATGTTATAAATTGATTTGCATTTAATGAGGGAAATAAGTATTTGACCCCTCTGCAAAACATGACTTAGTACTTGGTGGCAAAACCCGTGTTGGCAATCACAGCGGTCAGACGTTTCTTGTAGTTGGCCACCAGGTTTGCACACATCTCAGGAGGGATTTTGTCCCACTCCTGTTTGCAGATCTTCTCCAAGTCATTAAGGTTTCGAGGCTGATGTTTGGCAACTCGAACCTTCAGCTCCCTCCACAGATTTTCTATGGGATTAAGGTCTGGAGACTGGCTTGGCCACTCCTGGACCTTAATGTGCTTCTTCTTGACCCACTCCTTTGTTGCCTTTGCCGTGTGTTTTGGGTCATTGTCATGCTGGAATACCCATCCACGACCCATTTTCAATGCCCTGGCTGAGGGAAGGAGGTTCTCACCCAAGATTTGACGGTACATGGCCCCGTCCATCGTCCCTTTGATGCGGTGAAGTTATCATGTCCCCTTAGCAGAAAAACACCCCAAAAGCATACTGTTTCCACCTACATGTGTTACGGTGGGGATGGCGTTCTTGGGGTCAGAGGCAGCATTCCTCCTCCTCCAAACACGGCGAGTTGAGTTGATAACAAAGAGCTCCATTTTGGTCTCATCTGACCACAACACAGTCCTTCATGGCGTAGTGTGTTACCAATTGTTTCTTGGTGACCATGGTCCCAGCTGCCTTGAGATCATTGACAAGATCCTCCCGTGTAGTTCTGGGCTGATTCCTCACCGTTCTCATGATCATTGCAACTCCACGAGGTGAGATCTTGCATGTAGCCCCAGGCCGAGGGAGATTGACAGTTATTTTGTGTTTCTTCCATTTGCGAATAATCGCACCAACTGTTATTACCTTCTCACCAAGCTGCTTGGCAATGGTCTTGTAGCCCATTCCAGCCTTGTGTAGGTCTACAATCATGTCCCTGACATTCTTGGAGAGCTCTTTGGTCTTGGCCATGGTGGAGAGTTTGGAATCTGATTGATTGATTGCTTCTGTGGACAGGTGTCTTTTATACAGGTAACAAGCTGATATTAGGAGCACTCCCTTTAAGAGTGTGCTCCTAATCTCAGCTTGTTACCTGTATATAACACACCTGGGAGCCAGAAATCTTTATGATTGAGAGGGGGTCAAATACTTATTTCCCTCATTAATATGCAAATCAATTTATAACATTTTTGACATGCGTTTTTCTGGATTTTTTTGTTGTTATTCTGTCTCTCACTGTTCAAATAAACCTACCATTAAAATTATAGACTGATCATTTATTTGTCAGTGGGCAAACGTACAAAATCAGCAGGGTATCAAATACTTTTTTCCCTCACTGTATATGTGTTGATGTCACTGACCTTGGTACCAGATTACCCCTTTGAGGCTCATTTTGAGCAGAGGGTTAATCATTGCGTTCCACAGCACGGTCGGTTCCAGATGAAAACTACACTCAAAGACAAAGACAACGATATCTGATGTAGCCTAGATAAACTGTTGGGACAAGTGCTGTTATAGCAAGCTCATGATGTGGTGACGTGGCAAGCACCACGCTGATGAGCTTACAAATATTAGATAGACTGCGAAAAGGCTTCTACTGAGTGTCAATCAGTTAATTAACTTTGCTCTTCCTAGACATTCAGTAAAGCATAAACTATGTAAAACATTTATAATGTTTGTTATATATGCACGCGCCTTGATGTGTACATATATAATTTGGGCAAAAGATCCAACGTCCTAAAATAGCCAAATTGTCTTGAGTCATTCCATTGCCTCTGATATCTCTTTAGCACTGGAAAACCGAGTCGTATTGCTAACCTAAACAGCAATTAACGAGTTGTGATGCGTGTAGAGACGTGGTGATGCCATGTCCACATAACGTACTGCCTGATATATCATTCAATGAATGAGTGGAAGACGCGTGGAGATGATGTGATGACACCGTGTCCTCACTGTGCACTGACTGACGTCACATGCAATGAATGTGCAGAGATGCCTGTAGATAATGCGTGGCCCCAAGCCAGACTTAGATGTGTTATGAGGGCAGCGTATCAAATTTTGGCTCTCGTGCGACATGGCAAATAGCCTTTAAACAACAACAGCAGCCGCAACAACAGCAGCAACAACAATAATAGTAACAACAGCAACAACAAGAGCAGCAACAACAACAAGAGCAACAACAACAGCAACAACAACAATCATAGCAGCAACAAAAGCAGCAACAACACCTTGGGATGGTGATGCTGCAACTTCTGCTAATGCTACTGCCCAGATGTTTGTGGTCGGGCCCTGCTCTCACGGGACCCCGACTGAGTGAGACGAGCGGTCTGGTCAAGGATGCCTCCTCTCTTCCCTGGAAAATGGGGAGCCATACCCGGTACTACTCTTGGCTTGGATCAATTCTATCCCATCCAAACGCCACTGATGCTGCGGTGCGACTCACCAGCAGACTCGGCCTAGCATGGAACGTCCAGAAGGGAGTGCTGATCAGTCCACTTTCATGTTCAAACTACTCGAGTTCGGCACCCACTACTACGATCTGCTGTGGAAATGCTGACTCCTATCCGGCCGTGTTTATCAGTTGTTGTCATGCCTCGCACATGTTTGTGCTGCAGATCTGGTCAGTTCTTCTTCTGCCCTGCATCCACACAATCACGAAAGAGCACATTCATCGCCATACTGCTGCTTCTTATTATTTTGTATGGCTGATGTGATGCAGAGCAATAACTACAATTTCAGATTCAGGTGGTAAAGCCAGATACTCGCGTCAGGAGCAGCAGAGTGTGTCGCTGTGATGTCTCCTTCGTATTTGTGGATCGGGCATTGCATCATTATGTTGCAAGGTATGTTCTCGATGACCACAGTTTCACACTAGAGACTGGAGCGTTTTTAATGATTAATTCGTGCATCAGGGATACGCATCTGCCATGGTTTTTGTGGATGCGATTTAGGGTGTAACATGAACTTCGTGGAAGATTAAACCCAGGGATCTTCTGCGTTGGGTATTTCACAAGGTGCTTGTTCGTGAGTTCTTTTGAACTTCCTTCAGCTCTCCAGGCTCCATTGGGGTTGAATTCGCACAGTTTGAGCTTAAGCGCATGGGTCCAAAAGGGCTTACGTGACTTCAAGCAATGACGAGGGATGTTATTGAGGTCCTGATTAATGGAAAGGAGACTGCTTCCCTCGATTCGCAAGACTTCCCATAGGGTTGCAGCATTGTGACGGATGGGTGGGGGTGAGATGTGTGACAGCACAGGCAACCAGGGTGTTGGCGCCGACTTGAGGGTTACAATATTACACCGCATTGCAATGTTTAGTTTGACATCAACAAGTCGAGTGTGACAAATTTTGTCAAAACTTTACGCACAGTATTCGACTACAGAGTACAGAAGGGCCATCCTTGATATCCATAGGATTGATGCAGAGGTTCCCCAGTGTGTGCTTGTCAGTTGCTGGACGAGGTTGACCTTTGTTTGGTCTTTGCGGCTACTTTTTTCGGGTGGTCATGCAAAATTAGCATAGGTCTAGCTTCACTCCGAGATAAGGCGGAGTGGGGTTGTGTTGCACAGTGTTGCTGCAGAAGATCATTTTCATAATGTGTTTGGTGATGTTACAATCAAGGTGAAATGCGATGACTTTTTTCGTGAGGATTTGGCTTGAGCTCCATTTCCGGAAATATTCCGCCATGGTGTTTAGGTCTTTGTTCAAAGTGCATTCGATATCGTTGAAAATGGTTGCTTGCGTTGCCATCCGCATATACAAATTTGGGTAACCCGGTTTGTGACGTGTCACTGGTGTCGACATTAAAGAGCGTTGGCATGAGTAATGAACCTTGTGTTAATCCATTGTTGAGTAACCTGGGTGAGCTGGCTTTGTCGCTCATATAGACACGCAGTTGCCTATTGCTCAACATAGTCCATATCAATTGCATTATTTGGAGGCAAGGAATGGTCCTTGTGGGCTTAACCATCAAACCCTTAATCCAGACAGTGTCGTTGTCCAATGACAAGTCCACAAAGGCTGCACCGGTCTTGGATTTCTTTTGGAATCCAGTCTCAATGTGCGTCGCAAGGCCCAAAACTTAGTCACAGCAGTTGTGTCTGGGCCAGAATCCTGCTTGTTCTTCAGGGATCACAGAGTTTATAGGCCGTGCATAGGAGTGATATTGGTCTGTAGCTTAACTGGTCGTCAGTCGGCTTGCCGGGTTTGGGTATTGCAATGACCATCACCTCCCGCCATGCTTTTGGGATGCGTCTGGTTTTCATACTATTGGTGTACAGGGTTGACAGCCATTGGAGTCCGCTAGGGCCTAACTTATGGGGGGATTCTGGGGGATACCATCTCTGCCAGCAGCCTTGCCTTTCTTCATTTTATCCAGACCATCACTTCCACTGTGCTGATGGTGGTCGGGTCTTGTGAAGAAATTGAGGCCAATGCCTGGTTTAATTGGCGAGGTACTCTTGCTTTATGTTTTTGTTAAGTGGTTCTTTCGTGTTCTTCACTATTTTGGAGGCTATAGAGTTGGGCAGGACTTGTGTGATCTAGTATTTTGCTTGGTTAGCAGCACCCAGATGTCGTAGTAGGGCATAGTCATGGTGGCTAGAGGGTGTGAATTCCAGGCCTTCAATGCACTCAATCAACTGCTCATGCCTAACTGAGTCTAAAGACTCTAGCAGGGCCTTTACAACCTATGGGCTGCCCGACTGGTTGTACTGTTGGAGCAGATCCCGGGTCCCTTTTGTCCAGCAGGGAGTGTATTCTTCAGGAAGCCTTGGGCGATGCTTTTCTTGGCAGCTGCAGTAAGGACGCCAAAAAAACGGTGATAACATTCCAGGATCGCCGGAATTCGACTCATTACTCTTTATACAGCCTCCTTATAGTGCTCCCAGTCAGCTTTGACCAGGTTCAGCCTTGATAATCGTTTTGACAAAATAATGGAGATTTGGACGCCGATGTGAGTAATGATGGTCCTATGTTTACTTTTGGTAAAACTTGAGAGTATTTTGCGGGATACGTCAAGCGTGCACCCACTTTCATCTTTAGAATGGAAAGTTGTTAGCTGCTTGGAATCGAAATCCAGGTGTAGATGTTCGGCAGATATCCCGTCGGTGAGATCTTTCGCCGTCAGCCTGATCTACTGCATAACCTCACATAGTATGGCTGTTAAAATCACCAATATATAGGGCTCAGATTGGTGACTTGGGAGTGCTGGCTTAGGCCATTTTGACTTAGGGGCTTTGCACACATTGATGATGTGCAGCTCTCCCTTGATATACTACTGCCGAAGTCAGGTATTGAGCCCAACCCTAGACCAGGGCTCCTCAACTTAGGATTGGTCAACGCACGCTCCATAGTTCACAAGACAGCGCTGATCTCGGATCTGGTCAACGACTGTGGACTCGACATATTGGCCATTACCAACACCTTGGTATATGACGACTCACCAGACGTAATTAAGCAATTACATGATGTGCAAAATGGTATTACCGATTATTCATGCACCCATCACAACGATATGATACAGAGACTGGAAGCGACTTTACCACATGCTTTTTTATATTTTTTTTTTTTACCTACGTGACTTTACCAAAATAACCAAAGAGTACACATGCTCACCGTTTGAACATCTGGACGTCACCGGTGTGTCTACATCTTGTATTGACGGTTGATTAATTTACAGCTCATTTGGAAAATGACATCACTGCTGTTCTTAATGAACTCGTGCCCATCCGAACAGGCACAAATAAAATGGGGACAGTACGCAGTAACTGCCTGTCACCAGGGGCGATCACTGCTAAGCAGAGGTGGAGGAGGCTCAAGCATCTTTGGAAGAAAACTGATTTCGAGACTGTCCGACTCTCTTACAGAGTCACCTGCATATCTGCCAACCAACTCATTGAGTCTCGCAGATTGTTATATCCTCTGCGCATAAATTGGTTGGCTCATGACCCCCATATTCTGTGACATGTCGTGACGGGTCTGCTGAATTCCAACCACCCATCAACTAGTTAACCCATTTTGCACATTCCTTGCAACATTTTTCACCAATAAAATAGTGATGATCAAGATGCCTGTTACAAACATGAATGCAATGCAGTCTGCCATCTGAGTTTAATCAACCTGAAACCAATGCAAAACTCGAGACCCTGGCACAAACTTTGGTGGCAGAGATGTAAATGTTCATCATACCCCTGCCAAATAAGACGTCGCTACTCAACTATATCCACATGTCAATTATCAAATCATGCTCGGGCGTGTTTACTTCGCTGATTGTACACATGGCAAATATTTAGTTCAGCGCAGCCTTTTCCCCAGACTGGTTCAAAATGGCACTGGTAGCACCGCTTCTGAAAAAAGTTGGTTTGAGTCATAGTGACACTATCGCCCGAATCAAATCTGAGTACGATTTATAGAGTTATAGAGTACCTTTGTCTGAAGCAGTTACTTCTGCACGTCGCTGCAATGTGCAAATTCAACACATTGCAGTCGGCATACTGGAAGTTCTGGAGCAATGATATGGCTCTATTAAACATCACTGATGACCTATACAAGATCATGGATGACCAGTGCACTGCAGCATTGGTTGGTCTTGATCTCTCAGTCTTCGACACCATCAACCATTATATACGCATCAGGTGACTGAGGTCAAAGTTCAGTGTTTCAAGTATGGCACTGGGGTGGATTGGGTCATACCTACATCGTCGATCACAGTTCATAAAGCTGGGTGACGAACTTCATTGCCTATGCCGTGTCTAGTTGGTGTACCACAGGCGACCATCCTCGGGTTCTTTTTATATTCAACGTGTCTCTCCGATCACTGATGTCATCTTATCGTATGACACCAAGTGCCATCAATTTGCTGATGATACACAACTGTATATTACAGTGAAGTCCAACTTAGATATGGAGAGCATCGGTAACCTCGAAGATTGCATGTGAGTGTTTTGTACAAAATCGGAAGTTCTAACGGTTGGCACTCAGGCTCAGGTGAAAAAAATGTGGAAGGATTAGTTGTGGTGATTACAGACTCCAGGATTCAATGTTCCACTCATCTAAAGAGCATGAGCACCACACTCAATTAGAAAATGTTGTTTGATCACCACGTGCAAAATATAGTCAGGTCATAAAATTTTCATATCAGTGCCCGATGATAGATTCGACCATGATTGAGTCGTGCCATAGCCAACACGGTGGCATGTATCATAACATCGACATGGCTCGATTATTGCAAGTAAGTACTCTGTGGGACGTCTGGCAATTTACTTTTACCAAGCAGCAGTGTGTACAAAATGCTTTGGCCCGTGTCATGAAGGGTGCTGCAAGGTCCAACCATGTCCATCCAGTGCTCGCCAAGCTGCATTGGCTTCTGGGTGACGAATGAATACGATATAAGGTTGCACTCGTTACACAAAGTGCTTGCCGCAACTGCACCACAGTTCCTTGCTGATCTCATGAAGGAGCATAGACCATTACGCAAACGTTGGTCATCCTGCCAGCGGTTTTTCGCTACACATCGAACAGAGATGGTCACCGCACCACATGCTTTCAGACTTGCTTCTTCTGCTGTATGGAGTGCTCTCCCCTCCGATATTAGGAAGTCACTGGAGCTATGCACTTTTATTTCTACATTGAAAACTAATTTCTTTAAAATTGCCTTTTTTGTTTAGTTTGTTGTCCTTCCCGTGTACCTCTGATTAGCACGGTTGGCAACGAACAATGCAAAAGAAGTTCAACATACATACATAAACAATCACCCATTCACTCTATGTTATTATATATGCTCCCTATACGGGTCTATGTGTCTTTATATGTCAATCACTCTTTATTACACGTACTTGCTTTGAGGCTGTCCGTTCTGTTTGCAGCGTGCCAGGGCTCGGGGTGAGGACCAGGATTCGATGGCGGTGCCCCCCCAGCAGGATTGCACCAACCCCACAGGGACACCCAGAGTGCGATGTAGGTTTCGGCCAAAGAACCAACAGACGGCAGAGAAAACGGTGAATTCTCCCATGCCCAGGCGGGCTAGACACACAGAGAGACGTAGACATACACAGACATGGTCAACGATTCCCTGTGTAATCTGGTAAAGCAAATTCCATTAGCAGGCACCTATTTAGGTTGACATGGCACATGAGGAGGTGGTTGCCTCGCAACATGCCCGACTGCTGCTTTATCTGCCAAATGCTGATATTAATGCAGCATGGCAGGTACTCATTCAAGGGTTAGTCTATCTAGGGGAGGTCCAGGACCAGTTCAGATATTCACCACCGACGTTGGGTGTAAGCGCAAATTAGTTGCACATTTTTGAGAGCGAATTGGTTGCGCAATTGATGTTCTCAGTGTGGATGTGCCTTCAAGTTTTCCCCTAGTAGTGGGACTCATTGCCATTATGAACAAAACAAAATACGTTCTGGACGTAAATACAAGTGTTAAGACGTTCACACACCAAATAAAAAAATGCTTTACCCTTTATGGCACCTCCAATTAGCACAATTGGCTATGCATGGTGCAAAAGAAGTTCAAGATACATACAACCACACATACCTGTGACATTTCTAGTTAATTCAGACTTGATGCATTGTAATAGGTGTCTATTTGCTGTTTTAACATCTTAACACCTGCATTTATTGCCAGAAATTGTAGTATTTTATTTGCTTATTATCTTGATACTGGTGTAGTGAGTCCAACTGAGTCGTAGACGTTGTTCTTTAGAGGCAACCCATTTATTGTAACATCAACACATAACACCAAGGGGTAACTGTCCCTTCACCAGATACAGCCTAGGGTGGTGAGTGGTGACCACCCAGCTAACTACCCTATACGTAGAAGTTACGGCTACGAAGGGTCGGGCCCTCACTTGGGTCCCGACCACGTGTTGATGTCTCGTAGAGCTTCCAGCTTGTAAACGTAGAGCTTCAGCTTGTAGAATGCAGTGACCCCGGTCCCTCTCAGGGACCCGCTTTATATCTGCCACGGGTCGGGGCCGCTCCGCCCTTGGCCCCGCCCGCTTTCTGGAGCCTTCCAACTCCCTCTTGATCCCTCTCGATCCCTCTCGAGAGCTCTCTCAATAGCACCGGTGAGACAATGCCAAAAAATATGCTTTTTTTGGTTAAGGCCATTTAATTTCGACGACAATTTATACATGATCAATGCAATTTTGTTTGCATGATTTACTACAAGTATGTGTGGTTAATACGGACTTGGTGCCTTGTAATAGGTGTCTATTTTGGGTTTTAACATCTTAACACCTGCATTATTGCCAGAATAGGGGAAGTCGTTTTTATCATCAACAAACTGGAAAAAAGGGTTAAATAGATATGAACAATCTTGATTTAAAGCTTTCGTGACTGCAAGGATTCATACTCTTTGGGTCTTTAGATAAAGTCACGTAAATATAAAATAATAGATAACGACGTTTTGATCGCAACACAAGCAATCGTCTTCAAGTGAGAGAGATATACAAAAATCAATAGAGATCCTACCAACTGCCTGGTTGCGAAAACCAACAATATCATCGCTGATTCGACATCTTTAATCGAACCAACCAAGCGGGTCTCTCTAAAACCCTCTGGTGCTAGACCACCCAGATTTTGTGGCTTACCAAGAATCCATAAAGAAGGTACACCACTCCGTCCTATCGTCTACACCATTGAATCACACACATACAAACTGGCCCAATTTCTGTCTGAGACCTTGCTTCCATTCACTGGCAAGACCACCTCAGCTGTACTTAATTCAGCTCATTCGGTTTCTCTTATTAAAGATATCTCACTATCTCCAGGTGATTTGCTTGTAAGTTTCGATGTGGTCTCTCTTTTCACAAAAGTTCCTGTGTCTGACACCATTCAAATCATTGAAGATTTGGTCCAACAAGGACTGAATGCTGATGTACCAACCCTGGTGAGACACTGTCTTACCAACACTTACTTCACCTGGAATGATACATTCTACAAACAAGATGAAGGTACCCCAATGGGTTCACCCTTATCGGCAGTGGTAGCCAATATTTTCATGGAAAACTTTGAGACAGATGCCATCCAGACATCCACCCTACATCCTTCCTTGTGGAAGAGATATGTAGATGACACGTTCGTCATATGGCCACGTGGTCCGCTAGCACTGAACCAATTTTTAAAGCACATAAATTCCAAACACCCAGCCATCAAATTCACCATGTAAGTGGAAAAGGATGGCAAGTTACCCTTCTTGGATATTTTAATCGAAAAGTAACCAGATGGCTCATTGGGACACTCTGTCTACAGGAAAGCCACCCACACGGATGCCTATCTAAAACCTGACTCCCACCACCATCCAGCCCAGAATAATTATCTCATCAAATCCCTACACCATAGGGCCCGTTGCATCTCCGACCAGCACCACCTAGCCAGTGACCTGGAGCACATACACCAAGCCCTCAAGATTATTGGATATTCGGACCGCACAATCCACAAAGCTGTCATCCCAACCGTGGGGAAAAGAACATCTGAACACCCCACAAAACCATCACCTTGCCATACATAGCAGTGGTCACCAAAAATATTTACAAAATCATGAACAAAAAACAAAATCCAGGTTCGATTCAACACAGTACGTAACATTCGTGATCTGATCCCATCTGTTAAGGATGTGATCCCTGACATGCAATACCCCCGTGTCTACAAAGTTAGTTGTGTCTGCGGCAGTAGTTACATTGGGGAAACTAAACGACATGTCTCAGACCGTGTTCCTGAACACAAGGCGGATCTGAAACACGGCAGGACCAATACCTTGGCCGTGGCTGATCATTGTGTTAACGCTGTGGGCTCACACAATATTGATTTTTCCAAGACGAAGGAACTCTGCAAACCCACTGGCCATCATCGAAGGTTTGTTCATGCAGCCATACAAATATATAAACATAACAATTTCAACCGAGAAGATGGGTACATATTGAGCAATCATTAGAAGGACGTGATTAACCAGGTAAAGTCTTAATTTGCTATGATGTTTCCATCCTCTCTATCGATGTTAACTAATTCTCTGAGTTTTATTACTCGGTTGGATGTCTTTGTATTGACAGGCTGGGTGTCCACTGCCCCAGCTTCTGTGGTTGGACCATCTCTAGCTCCACCCACCTACCTTGATGCACCCATCTCAGGCCTATATTGACCTTGTTTCAGCAGCTGTCTCTCTTTCATCTGAAAACGATTGCTTGTGTTGCAGTCGAAACGTCATGATCTATTATTTTCTATTCACGTGACTTGACCGAAGACCCAAAGAGTATAGATATGTACAAGTTTACTGCCTGTTCCACTGAGTGAACATGGACACGTTTCTTCGTCAGCTGAAGGCTATAATCGCTGCAGTTTCCTGTATTAAATCTCAATACAATACTGGTGCCAGATATCAATATAATTAAAATCTTGCCACACATATGCTCATTCCTGGACTGTCTGTGTCAAACTCCGAGAGGTGATAAATTATGAACACGTACCGGCTGTGGGGAGACTCCAGGGGAGTGCGACTGATGAGAAGTCGTCCAGGGGCTGGAGCGATGTATTTAAGGAGACAGCAAACAGTCGGACGAGAGGAAAGTTGACGGCTTGAGCCAGCTCCCAACTCGCGTTCACCACCTGTATATGGGAACACGCAGGCATAGACATGGGAAGAACAGATACAGAGAACCAGAGTTAGATTCTAGCTCGCGTTTAGTCCTGAGTGACCTAGTGACACAGAGACATGGGGACATATAGACACAGTGGAACAGGGGCACGGGAGGCATGTGAAGACTAGACACAGGGACCACAGGACATGGAGGCACGGGTACATGGACACACACAGACCCAGAGACGTGGGGAAATCGATACGCAGAGATACACTGGGTCACAGAGACCTAGAGACATAGATGCATAGAGATAAAGGGACGCTGAGACACAAAAAACACGGGGACACGGTTACAGGAACAATAAACATGGGACAATGAGACAGGAGATACTGGGACACGGATTCATGCCGACACAGAGACATGGGGACACGGATAGAGATAGACACTGGAAGAATAGACACTGAGACATAAAGATTTAGAGACCCAGAGTTAGGGTCAATGTCGTGTTTGCTACCTAGTGACACTGAGTCATGGAGACAGAGAGGAACATGTATATGAAGACACGTGAAAATGGACACGGATACAAAGGGACGTATGGGTAAACAGACATGGGAAGAATAATATGGGGAAAAAAGGACTCAGAGACACAGGGACAGGGAAACACGGGGACATAGAGTAACAGAGGCATAGTGCAAAGAAACATGAAGACACGGGGACACAGAGATATGGAGACACTGACACATGGGGACACAAACATGTAAAGAATAGACGTGAGATTAAGGGACATTGAGACAGAAAGACATGGAAACATAGGGACACCGAGACATGGGGTGTTGTGTGTGATTGTGCTGTGTATGCTACATTTTATTGGAGATGATTAGAGACATCCGCTGTATTAACCAGGGTGGCCTGCTGGATTAGAACCATGAACCTCTGCAACAAGCACCACCAACGTGTCCAGTCTGTAATGCCTGAAAAATGTGTGTAGCCACCTTGAAGTCGCCACCTTACAAATAATATGCAATGGCATATTGGATGCCCTGGTCCAAAATGTTACCGCTGCTCTGGTGGAATGGGTCATCAACGCCACTGGATGTTCCTTCTCGGCCTTTCGAGGTTGCGTTTACCCTGACTGAGTTCCCATACAAGACAAAGAGCTACTACGACCCTCGGCAGCCCACTGTCCAATAGACACAGGCCGGCGGGCTGGCAAAGTGCAACCGATGCTGGTCTATCAGGCCTGGACACCACCACCAGGGAACCCACCTTGACTCCGAGGAAGTGTGTGTAAATGGCAGAAATATCTGAAAGGCATAGTTTTATGGACGCTTCCACTCGCAAACACTACCTAGAGATGATTGGCAATAGCTTGTATGCCACACAACAGTGGGTCTTAACTGGCCTTGATGCACCAGCAGGAGAACTCCCTCCAGTGGCTGGCATAAACTTTGTCCGTGGAGGCTCTGCTTTACTTAAAAATGAGGTTCTGCACCTGCTCTGAAACGCCCAGTTTCTTGAACGTCATCCTTTAAATGTAGTCAACAGAAAACGCCTGGCATCTGGAAAATGCGTCTTGCCTCTATCATTAGTGAGCGAAACTTGGAAGAACCTTGGCGATTTACTATCGCTACAGCTATTATATTGTCACAGCAAATGCCAATTCATGTCTGTTGGACCTAGTTAGACACTGATCGAGAATGCCATGAAATGGGTACCATTTACATAGTAGAGCCCACTGAAGTGGCCTCATGTGAAGTTTTGTCTAGGAAACCATCTCTGTGGTGGAGTCCATGTGTGCTAGAATGACCAGGATGTTCCTTGCCCTGATCACCAGAATGTCTTGCAGCTAGCTCTCAAAACTGTTGGCTAAATAGAAACACCTTTTGTTCAGAAGTCGTATCTGATCCTGGTATTTCCAGATGTTCAAAGTAAGGTGTTAGAGTTGCTGATTTGTTTGATGGACACTTTTCCAGGTAAACTACCAAACGTTGGTCCTCGAGGATTCGAATATCTACATCGGTTTCTACTAGAGTTTGGGACTTAATTATGCTCTGATCATAAGGTCCTTCACATAGGGATAAAATGCGAATATATATCTCTCTCAATTGTTTGCAAAACCAAAAAATAACTGGGAGACAGACCGAGAGGAAAATCATTCCTGGGTCAACCAAGGCTGTAAACCCCAGGAAAGAAGCTCACAAGACCGATGCGTGCCAAACTGTTGATGGTGGAAAAATTCCAGTTTTGGGTATGTGGGCAGATATTTCCGAAAACCCAGTGCAACCAAGAATAATTAATAGCCCACAGGGACCTACACAAGTAAGGATGCTCGGGGACACTGAATGCACTGGAGTCGTGGTAAAACAAGCAATTGTGGCTAACTCCCAATTAACGGGTACATACCGTGTCTGTATGTTAATGGATGGGACAGCACGCCCCTGTTCAATAGACAAGATTGATTTGATGTCCCCTTACTTTTCAGGAGTAGTTAATACCATGTGTATGGAGGAACATCTGTATAAAGTCATGGTAGGTAATAGCCCAGGTGCGACAAAACTAGAAAGGGTATAAAGGCATGATAGAGTAAGGGATCAATCAGAGCTCACGCCGTTACAATGAGAGCAGGCAGAGGACGTGACGAACAAACCATCAAGCAATTACGGATTGGCTTGTACCATAATTTGGCTGTCGCCTGATGAAGCTAGTTGTAATTACTTGCGAAACGTCGTACTCGGATTGTAAATGTTGTGGCTTGGCTCTCCAACACACCGGTGTGCTGTACAAGTAACGAATTGGCATGTTCTGTTTTACGTGACAACCCTTACTAATTGGCTGTGTTCGGTGGTGACGGGTTTAATGACACATTTATATATTTACGTGATCTAACCCAAAAAAAACATGTATTATGGATGATATTGGTCGTAAAAGCCTACGTGTTACACTTAGTAAGATATTACCGGAAATGTATTCCAAGATTAGCTGAAATTGCCAAACATCTGACCAATATGACAGCTAATTGTCAACCAAACCAATTGGAATGGAAGGAGGATGCCAGTATAGCCTTTGAAACATTGAGAGGAGGTCTCACTGGAGACAACATTCTGAAATTGCCCGATTAAGGGAAAACCTTCATGTTGCATAGAGATGCGTCGGACACACGTTTGCGAACTGATCTGCTGCTGCAGGAGAATAATGGTGACAATTTTCCGTGATGTACGCCAGTCGGAAATTGTTACCAAGGGAGACACGGTACTCAACTATTGAGAAAGAGTGCTTGGCATTGGTGTGGGGGTCCATACGTTTTGGATGTACCTATATAGCAGCGAGTTCATATTGGAAACAGATCACAAGCCCTTCATTTTCCTTAACAGCACAAATTGAAAATAACCGAGTGATTTGATGGGCATTGTCTATGGCATCTTCTTTGGTTCTTTCGGTAAAGTCACGTAGAATGATAATAAAATAATAAATTGATAAAATGTATTATTTTATTTTAAAATGTATTATTTTATTTTATCAATTTATTATTTTATTATCATTCTACGTGACTTTACCGAAAGAACCAAAGAAGATGAATCATTGCAGTCCCGAAAGCTTTAAATCGAAATTGTCTATGGCAGTGTGTATTACGGTGTATAGTCGTGTAATGTAGAAAAAAGTTTAGTTGGAGGCATATCAATATAATGCATAATGTTAGAGCTTACATTGGGCTGTGTATACGATATTATAAAATGTAGTTTAGATTGGAAAGTATAATATTGTAATGTATAGTAGTCTAGTTTATAGCGTAGTTGTAACGAAACACAAGACAAAGCAGCGCATCGTGGCTGTTTCTCTCTCTCCCCCCTCCTCCGTTCCGAGCATAGATGGACTCGTCCGTCTGAACAAAGCTCGTCACTTTCCGTGGTGCTAACGTTGAGGAAAAAAGAAACTGCCACTTTTTTCGACGTAGAATTGTAATGTATAACGACTTATTGTTAGTAGCTCAGCTGATTGGAGAGTAATTTGAGTTTATTGATCATATTGATGTAATTTATATTTTAGGTTTTTTTTTTATCAGTTTACTATATGGTATTCATTATATAGTGTAGTGTATACCCAGTTACTTTATGTTAATAGTTCAACTTATTGAAGAATATATTGAGTACATTTATTATATTGATGTAGTTTATATTTAGTTATTTCAAATCGGCTTATTGTATGATAGGTGGGTAGTTGCAGTTATTTAGCGTCAATATACTAAATACCTCTGTTGATATGTAAACTCTGACTTACACATAGCTACTTCCGTGACAAGTTGCATGCTAATCCCTCATAGTAACATCATGCTAATCTCCCAGTTACATGATCATTTCTGACTATCACATCTATCACATTAACACAGCTACTTCAATGCAAAATTCTTCTGGTGATATGTAAACTCCTTTGTCAAGGCGCTCTGCTCCTCCCACCCAGCTTAAAATACGCTGCTAAGCTTAGCAGTGTTCATTGGAGCGCTGTCTTCCCGACAGTTCTGTTTCTTCACCTGAGGAAGGCTACTTGTGTTGTGGCCGAAACGTCGTGAGAATTTTATTTTATAATATGTTTGTTTTATTATTTTATTATTTCCCTTCTACGTGACTTTACTGAAAGAACCAAGAAGAAGTGCTTATGAGCCATTTGGTAATGGTGTTTAAACAACATTATTGTATAGACGTACAGTTTCTTGATTGTTTGAGGCTGTAGATGTCATAAATTTATAACCCTTACATAGGATCGCTGTGGCCTTAGCTGCAACTAATCCCGAAGTGCAGAAATAATTGTATGTACACTAGACCCCTTCTTAACGACGGTAATTGATTCCACAAAACCGATCGTGAAGTGATTTGGTCGTTAAGTAAGTTGACGTTTCCACTTCAAAGCACAGCAGACACTGAATGTAAACAATGCCCGATGGCTCATGAATGGACGTCGCTGATTGGCCAAGATCTGGTCAGACCACTTTGTATCTCGCCGATTGACCGAAATTGACATACGCCTGCTCGTCGTAAGCCCGTCGTTAACAGGGGAACGGTCGGTGAACAAACACATTGGGCTCTATAGAAGCCCGTCGTTAAGCGATTAGTCATAACAGGGGTGGTCGTTAAGAGGGGATGTACTTTCTTGAACTTATTTCCCACCATACATAGCCAACCATTCTAATCAGAGGTGTGAGCTTCATGGGTAGGGATGGGGGCTATCTGCAGTGCATTTCGTGGCCAGTGGGGAATTGTTGGCCGGCAAATAGAGGACAAAGAGAAACCTTACCTGCTGTACAGTCATCTGCATGTTGCTCTGCCCCCCACAAAGCCACACTTCTCCGAACCAGATGTCGCGAATCACAACCCTCCCCGCTGCCCTCTCAGTGCCCCTCCACACAGGACTCCACTGGGTGGCACTGAGAGAGAATGGCCCCCCAGCATCCATGGGGTCCAGAGTCATGGACCACGTGTGTGACTCTACACACACAAAGACACACAGACATAGGTACGCCATTTAGCCTTGTAATATTTAGCTCAACTTGTAACGCGCCCCCAATATTCGCTTACGCAGTTAGAGAGAGAATGGCCAAGATGCACGAGGAGCGATAGACAAGCAGGAAGGCAGCCACAGAGTGAGCCGGTGCCAACAATTGCCCAAGCTCTGCAGTCCTCTATATATGGTTGTATTGGCCAACTAATGTGGGAGAAAAATGAAGTACCTGGAGAAACCCCATGCATGCAAGGAGGAAACATTATATCCCATACAAACGGAACAGGTAGCGTCCAAACTTTTGCTAACGCCAACCATCCACAGTGCTGGATTACGGGCATGCATACCCACCACCGCATGACAAACCAGCAAGCCTCAAGATACTTTTTGGGGCAAGTGCTGTTAGCGAGCACCAACACGGTACACGAGGAGGTGGGTGGCCAGCAGCACGCCCAGTTTCTGCCTTTGTCTTCCCAGTGCTGCTGTTTACACACCTAACCAGATACTCATTTGAGGATGAGTCGACCTAGGAAAGTCTTGGTGGGAATTGACCTCGGGTCATCGGGTTTCTGGTGCAATGCACTGCGACAAAACCTTTCCTCATACACTGTCTTCGGGTCTTTGATTCATCGTTGCCCATGTTTAACTTGAGCCTGAAAACACCCCCAGCTTTTCGTTGCCTTCACTTCATGACCCATTTTGCTTTCAATCAACAACCCAGATCACCCGTGCAAAGTGGCAACGCTGTATCATATTTCACGATGTGTTTATTTCTCTCTTGGTTTCATAAATGGGCGGTGCTATTGCGTACATATCATGGGTACTGCTGCCTTGGCGCTTTGTGAAAATGGGTTTACCCTTTGATCAACTAAGATGTTAAATCTAACAACTCTTGTGCGAAAGAACCGTTTGTGAGGAATTTGATTACCCACATTGGTCATCACATTTTCCTCCTGAAAGTAATTGGTTTTTCAAGCCGCCGCCACCATTAATAATTTTCGGATGCAACAATCCGTCCAGCACTGGTACATGAGGTGAATTAGTCACTCCAACTCCTCGGTGAGCATCCTCTTGGACCCATTCTATTTTTGGGTGTGACTGCATTATTACTCTTGACCGTCATTCATTGTCCCTTCTAGCCATGTGCCCTACCCAAGTCCACTTATTTTTCTTGACACCTTTCGTGACCTGTGATTTATAAGCACAGGTTAGACAAAGGCATTACAGAGGCTGCCTCTGGTGTAGGTCAACCAGTTTTAAGGACTGCTTACCAAAGCATGTTTTGCGTGTTGCCACAACAATGTGTGGTTAATGCAGATTTGGCGCTTTGTAATGTGTGTATATTTGGTGTTTTAACACCTTAACACCTCCTGTATTTTTGCTAGAAATCATAACACTTTTTGTCATCTGGATTCTGGCCAAAAGGATCCCGAAAATATGCATACACAAAACTGACATAGGCTAAATAGTTGCTCACTGACACTATTTGCCCCAACAACCAAACATACATAGTGTGTTTCTGTTTCCATTCATTTGTTTAACTGGGTGGCAACTCAAGAGACAAGGTGTCTGAGCGCAGCACCCGAAAAATTGTGTAAGCTTGGTTCAAAATTAAACTTAAACTATAAAAACTATGGAAAAATTTTTTTATTTTACCAGTTAAGGCTCACTGAGCTCTAAGCCATTTTTCAGATAGTGACCTGGCCACAAATTATAGCTAAACTAAATGGCTTATGAGGTCGAAATGTATAAAAGCAAAATTCAGTGATAATATTTATAAATGTGGAGGGGAAAACTGGAGGACCTGGAGAAAAAAAAATTCACGCGAACCACAGGAGAACATGCAAACTGTAAATCAACAGGGATCGGGGTCGGATTCAAACCCATGACCTCCTGCATACCAGGAAAGGCAGATAACATCTTGCCACCATGACGCCCCATCGTGAGACTCCAAGTAAATAAGGGATTCATCGAGACTTTGTCATCCTAAAGTTAGGATATATTCGAGGGTTGGTCAGGACCACTCGTGAGTCAATTTGTAACCGATAATAATTATAGCTCAACCACGACCAGCTTTAGCGCACCAAATAATAATGTCATGCCGGCAATGTTGCATGGGGATTTTCTCCTTAGTGGCTGGTTAGCTGGTGCAGTGCGAGTGACGAAATAACCCTAAGCAGCAACTTTAACGTGAGCGTTATAATCAAACTTTGATTCTCATACCTCCTGTGTCTTACAATTAAATTCCTATAATGACATTGATGACCTTACTACAATCTTCGTCTGATAACAGTATTTTATATACTCAGACCCCAGGGTCAGGGCCCTCCAGCGATGCAAGGATAAAGGAGCAATTGGCTCCGGGCTTGGCACAATCGAGGGCGCCTCAACCGATATGTTTTATGTCACTAATGAATAAGGAGGCCTCGTAAGTTGCAGCATGGTGGAGAGAGAGAGAGACCTTCCGACACGATGCTCCTGTGCTCCTGTAGCAACTCCTTGCTCCTGTTGTAGAGTCCCACGACCACCTTGGCTCCCACGCTCCCAAACCCCCACACGAAGGCACCACGCGGTCCCCTCTGCAGGACCATGTGGTTCCCATAATAGGAGGCCAAGCGGAACGTTTCAACCATGAGCGTGGAGGTAGGTGGGGCTGGGGAGATGCATAGTAACAATAGTTAGTTTATGACGGTTGTGATCCTGCTGGTGATGCTGAGGCTCTGCGGTGATCGTGCTGGTGATAATTCTGACCGTGATAATGAGTGGTTATCATTGTGATGTCGGTGTTTATGGTTGTGGAAATGATTGTGGTGATAATGGTGATTGTGACTGAGGTGGGTGTCGTAGCGGTGGCGGTAGTGTGGAACGCATTGATGGTGGTGGTCGTATTGACGGTAGCAATGAAAGTGGAGATGGAGCTGATGTAATGATCATGGTGGTGGTGATAGTAGAGGGGGTGCTGGCAGATTCATGTTTACGTCAAGCACTCACAGGTGTTGTTAGGAGGTTCACGTATGCGATTCACCACCAAGCACTCCACCATCGCCGCCTCGATCAGCACCACCAGCACCACCAGCAGTACAGGCATATTCTTCCTACTGACGTCAATGCAGGTGGGGGCATAGATTTACAGAGATTTGATGCTGTTTTTCACTTCGTCGTTAATTTCAATATAAATTCCTAGTATCAGCTACCTCATGATTGCTAATAGACATGGGGATTATATAACCGCATGTCTGTGATGTATATAGCTTTGTCTGTTTGACATGTGGCAGCTAAAACCTGAGAAGCGAATAAACACATTTGATTCTGATGGCTTTGTATTGTAGATAATAATTTCACCCATGGTGAGGTACTATCTCTTTTCATTTTGCTAGGAAAGGCCCACTACGCTATATAGCTCTTTTTCAGAATCCACCTGGCCACAAATGATAGTTCAACGAGGTGGCTTATCATATAGACATTTATAGCAGTCAAATACTTGAAACACATGTTGATTCTAAATGTGGAGGGAAAACCCGAAAGACCCCGTGAACATTCCACGAGACTACGGCGAGAGAAACATGCAAACTCTAAATACAGTACAGGCTGTTTGAATTTTTTTTACCCAATTTAAAAGCAGTATATTTCACGATGACAACATGTTACAATTACACTAAAACTTACAAACGGTTTAATGAGTTATCAAGTTTTACTATCCATTTTATAAATGCTCTATGTGCCCTCCACCTGCTGTACGGACAACATCGAGACGATAGTTGAATTCATCCCAAACGCCTCTCAAAGTGTCTCCTTCCACTGAAGTTACCGCTGCCGTGATTCTGTTTTTGAGGTCATCCAGATTAGTCGCTAATGGTGGCACAAAAACACAGTTTTTGATTTATCCCCACAAAAAAAAAGTCGCAGGGTGTGATGACTGGGGATCATTTGGGTCAAGAGTGTAGTGCCAAGTCTTGGCGTCCCGTGAGACCTATCCAACGTTGAGGCAGTGTGTCTTGGGAATGACTTAGGCTAAGGGCTGTTTGTGCGCTGGGAGAGGTATGTAGCAGTAATCATTTGAAACTCTATACCCCGCCCTTACAAGTGGTAAGAGTTTAATTCATGGGCGGTTCGTGGTTGCAGAGATATAGCGATTTTAAATGGGGAACATCTTTTTTTAAAACACCCTGTATACAGGCGTCAGGGTCAGGATCGAACCCACAACCTCCTGTATACCAGGCGAGATAGTTAACATCTCGCCACTGTTGCATTCCAGGGAGTCTTGAGACTCCTGTATGATATTTGAAGCAGAGGTCATGCTGCCACCACCACCCTCACCGGGACAAGCGGATTGAGAAACGAATGAATGAACCTCCAACTCTAACACATGTACACTCACCTTCATGCATGCTCACTTTCACCAACACACACATGTGCACCCATGAAAACACAGACACACACACACATATTCATTCCCAGTGTAATAGTGGGACTCATTACATTATGTGGTAGATCGCTACATTTAACCAAATAGTTATGCGGTTCGGTTTGCAAGTATGAACGAATGTTACAAGTCGGATAGTTGAATATAATCTTATGGCGGTTTGCCCGTAAGTGCGGATGTTCGTAAGTTGGGGACTGCCTGTACTGTCGAAAACATAGTCTTGTGGTTCTGATTCACTTTTATGAAATTAATTAAACCACCAATAATAGCATTTTCTGGCCGTAGGGACAATGTTTATCTGAATATTCAAAAAGCAACTAAGGTACAAACTGTACTTTAATATTTTTGTTGGATATCTTGGAATTCAGTGTTCTGTTGGAATAAGAGGCAAAACTCATGAGGATTCCGAGCATACATTTTAATCCTGTATAAGGACCAAAAAAGACCCACATGCAAAATGTAGCGGTAACTCTGCTCAGCCACCAATTACTAATTTACTTGAAAAAAACTGTTAATGCAGCACACGTTGTATGGAATTGTATTAATTTCCACTGCAGTGGCAATATGCTGGGCACTATTCACGCGGAAATTTGAATTTAGCACAGTAGCATTATTATATTGCTTCGCAACGTTTCTCTACATTTCGATATAAGGGTATCTACCAAGTGCTAAGATACATTTTGGTACAAATAAAATACGTAAAATTATCACGCCTCTAACGTGCAGCACAGTAGACGTATCGGGAATTGGCGTCAAATATGTACAGCTCAACATCCGGCGTTTGTCTTGAGGTGCGCTCGACAGAGCAGTAGGCAGCACATAATGACCTCCTTCGGCGCCGCTCCCCTTACCTGGAGTCGCCGGGATGTTCATGACCTGCCCGTGACGTCATGGCTCCGTGGACTGCAGATTCCACAGAACTGCAAAAGTGGATTCTGGTGTTCACAGCAAGAACATCACTTTTTTGAGTGTAGCAAACAAATTTTATCAATCGGCCTGATTCCCGTGTCTTATCTATGAAGTGCATCCTTGTCTGTCTGTGTGTGTATGCGCCTTCCCCGTAACGCTTTCAACTGACAAACTATTCTTCTTCTGGCTTATTTCGGCAAAGTCGTGCAGAGTGGAGATAAAATAATAAAAAAATAATAACATAATAAAATTCTCACGACGTTTCGGCCACAACACAAGTAGCCTTCCTCAGGTGAAGAAACAGCACTGTCCGGAAGACAGCGCTTGAGTGAACCCTGCCAAGCTTGGCAGCGTCTTTTAAGCTGTGTGGGGGGAACAGAGCGCCTTGACAGAGGAGTTTACATATAAATTAGCATGTAACTGGGGAATTAGCATGATGTTGGTGTGAGGGATTAGCACCATGGAGAGCGACGAGCTTTGTTCAGACGGACGAGTCCATCTATGTTTAGAACGTAGGAGGGGGGGGGGGGGAAGAGGAGGAAACAGCCACGGTGCTCTGCTCTGTCCTGTGTTGCGTTACAACTATGCTATAAACTGGACTACTATACAATACAATGTTATACCTTCCAATATAAACTACATTGTATAATATTGTATCCATAGACAAAACCCCACCCTTGAATTATACAATGCGTTACTATAAACTACCCTATACTTTAGACTATAAAATATTAGACTTGTAGTATTACACTATGTATTATTCTACCACACTGCTGTATATTCACTATACAATTACGGTACTATATATTGCCTAATGAATTATGGTAAACAATACACTGTTATACTATTTATTATTATACAAAATGATATAAACTATACTATTGACTGTCTTCATTCCAACGCTGTCCTCGTGACAGTACGGTCCCTTCACCTGATGAAGGCCACTTGTGTTGTGGCCGAAACGTCGTGATTTTTTGTTGTTTTATTTTTTGACCTACATGACTTTACCGAATAGAACCAAAGAGTATGGATCCTTGCAGTCACGAAAGCTTCAAATCTAGAAGTATGAAAGGTACTAAGAGGCAGTGCCAGCGAATGGACTGCAGTCTGAAAGTCACCGTAAAATGAAATCAATCAAAAACCGAAATGGTTTATAACGTCTTTCCAATGGTTACTAAGCTGGAATCCATCTTCTCGGTTGAAATTGTCTCTGTGTTTGTATATGTGGATAGCCTCATGAACGAATCTCTCATGGTAGCCGGATGGCAATCAGAGAACCTTCGTCTTGGAGAAGTCAATGTCATGTGAGCTTACTGATTATAACAGTGATTTGCCACGGCTGAGGAGTTCATCCTACCGTGTTTCAAATCTGCTTTATGTTCACGGATGCGGTCCAAGACATTTCGTTTGGTTTCTCCAATGTAGCTGCTACCACAGATGCAACTTAGTTTGTAGACGCCCGGGTACTGTATGTCTGGAACCACATCTTTACAGACGGAACCAGATCACGGATTTTATGTACTGTGTTGAATCGGACCTGGATCTTGTGTTTATTCAGGATTTTGGAGATATTTTTGTGACCCCCACAATGTAGTGTAAGGTTATGGTTTTGAATGGCTCCTCAAGAGGATCCTTATTCATGGTTGGAATGATGGCTTTGCGGATTGTGTAGTCGGAGTAACCATTAGCCTTGAGAGTTTGGTGTACGTGCTTGAGTTCACTGGTAATGTGTTCCTGGTCGGAACTATTGTTTACGTTTTAACAAAGTACACAATAACAAAAGAACGAAACCTCCGGATGAACACTTGCTATTTGTTTTTACCCTTGGTCCAATCTGAACTAGTAAAGTCACCCTTTGTACAATGTACGCTGATTTATTGTTAACTTTGAGCCAGGTGCCAAAACGCCATCTGCACATGCACAGAACGCCGACTCGCGATTGCCGCTAGCAATGCAAACAAGCTTGCTGAACGACGACTTGCTGGTGGTCATTTTGTTTACAAAAAAATGCCAAAATGAAAATAAATCAAGCCTCTCCAAGACAAAAACAAACACCAAGAGAGTGGCAGCAGTCTCATCAGCAAACAAGGAAGGCACCTCAGCAGCACAGGATGAGGAAACTCCAGAGCAGCGTGATATCCTCTCCCTCCCCACACCCCAATGTGTGCATTTACTACTGTAGAGTCAGTAGATACTACTGTAGGGTCAGAAGAAATTACTAGAGAGACAATAGATACTACTATAGTCAGTATATACTACTGTAGGGTCAGTAGATGCTACTGTAGACTCAGTAGATACTACTGTAGGGTCAGTCGATTTTACTAGAGAGTTAGTAGATACTACTGTAGTGTGGTAAAATACGCGGTGTGCACTGCTGCCCGAGGGCAACCGGGGGCAGGCAGGTGCACGAGTGCAACGTAAGGTTGCATGTACAAACCGCCACCTCTTTAACGGGAGATTCGGTTGCAGACGGGGTCGGTCCGGGGTCGTACGCTGGGACCAGAGGTGTCGCGTGGGAGTCGTGCGATAAGGAGCGATTGATGGCCTGACAGTCGCCGACCTGTCGGGCCCTAAAGAGACACAAGGGATGAGCTGGATAATTGGAAGGAGGATATGTGAAAGCGGAGTGGGAGCTCGGGTTCTGGGACCAAGGTGAAGACATCTCTCCACTGCCACTCAAGCCAGGGACGTACCTCAACCCTCACGAGTCGATGGGCTTGTGATGGTTGATCCCCCCGCCTGGATCAGACAAGTGAGTGGGTCTGAGATAACGTGGGTGAGGGCAGCGGTGCAGAGGGAGAGCAGCTGTGTGCAAGCTCTGTGTGAGCGAGGCTTCTGTGTGAGCGAAGCCTCTGTGTGAGCGAGGCTTCTGTGTGAGCGAAGCCTCTGTGTGAGCGAGGCTTCTGCGTGAGCGAAGCCTCTGCGTGAGCGAAGCCTCTGAGTGAGCGAAACCTCTGAGTGAGCGCTGCTGTGTGCAAGCTCTGTGTGAGCTGCTGTCTGTGTGCGGAGCTGTGAGTGCGGAGCTGCTGAGAGGAAGAGCTGCCGCAGGCAGGTCAGCGAAGTGTAAAGTAGATAGTGTTGATTTTTTTGTTATTTTTTTTGTTATTTTATTTTCACCTACGTGACTTTGCCCAATAGAACCAAAGAGTATGGATCCTAGCAGTCACGAAAGCTTTCAATCTAGAATAGATAGTGGAAGTTGGTTAACAAAGTGACCGTGTAGACAGAGATAGGAGTGCCTACAACTGGTGCGAGAGAGAGAGTTATAAAGGTTAAGCAGGTGACTTGGAACAACGTGTCCGACTGAGTGTCTCACTTCTTCTCCCCGTGTCCCCCCCCCCCTCGTCTCTCTCCACGAGTGTCTGTCTCCGTGTGTCCCTGCATCTCTTCGTGCCTCTGTGCCTCTACTGGATCGCCTCGTGTGTCTCACCTCTTTTGGTTGCCCCTGACGTGAACGACGGGAGCGGAGACTTGTAATGGGGATATGTCTCCAATTCTGAGAAAAAAACACTGAGAGAGAATCACGGGTGGGGGGGGGGGGGGGCGGGCAGAGACACAGGCAAGAGAGAAATAACGAGAGACTCGTAGTAAAGAGAGACGCCTGGCCAAAGAGACAGGAGGGAGAGAAAAAGTGTAAATGACAGGCAGGTGAAGCATATGGGGAGTGGTTATGTGGAGGTATGCAGGTGTGTGGTCAGGTATGTGCGGACTTAATTTTTGCACGTTTGCAATTTTGCAGGTTTGCTGACCATGTACGTGAGTTCTTGGGGGAGGGGAAATCCCTCACCCCAGAAAATATCATAGGGCAAGGTAGATGTGAACCTGCTTGGACTGCAGTACCTGAAATATTGGAGCAAGTAGTCACCCCCTGTAAGTTACTGGCTGACGTGTCATCAGTTCAGGAATAACGGAAGGCGATCAAGTTTTTGAAACCAGGAAATCGCTGGGCAGAGATGATCTCCCACGCAAATTACTGAGGGAGGGTGGCTTTTGTGTGCAAATTGACCTATATGACATAATTACAATCGTCTGGACCATGCGACAGTTTCTGCAGGATTGGAATGATGCCATGGTGGTGCTCATCTTCACGAGGACAACTACAGGGGGCATCTCAGTGTGCTAAGAAAGGTCCTGGCAATGAGAATTCAGCATCGCCTAGCCAGGCACGCTGAGGAGAGCCTTGCGGATCCTCACTGTGGTTTCAGGCCAGGGTGGTCCTGCACAAACGCTATATTGTCTGTCCATTTGCTACAGCAGATACGTTTGGAATTCCAACAGGACCTCCATCTCTGCTTTATTGACCTGGTCAAGGCCTATGATACCATCAATGCCAGACTCATCGCACTCCCAATTGCAAAATTAAAAAAGTTGGGCAGCAACAGCTGATGCACCGATCTTTCACCACGGCTTCACTGCCCCCAGGTCCCTCCACATGCTTCTCCGAAGCTGCATAAGCCCTTGCAAGGCCCAGTCAAGACCCAGTTAATCCTTCTGCTGGGTACCACAAAGTATTCGATCAACATTGAACCTCGTACATTAGGAAAACACAGTCAGGCCTCCAACTTGGAGTGACTTGGCCAACAAATATTCGTCCAAAGTGTGGGGAACGGAAGTCTTAACATTAACCAAGTGACAGAAAGAGAGCCATAAACAATTTCGAGTAAATTCCACATTGAACCTGCCCGTTGGTAGCCAACAAATGGACTTCGAGATGACAGTTCCTTTATGTGCGTATCTGCATTTGCACAATCGCGTATAGGTGTGTTATGATGTTGAAATATGGGAGGTGCGCCTCCTGGGAGACTCCTGCCCCACCGACATTAGCAGGTAATAGTGCATGGTTTAGCACAGGACATGGCCCAGAGGTTCAATGGCTCGACAACTTGTTGCTTATTGTGACGGGTGATCTGAGCCCGTGGCTTTTGAGCGATTGCAATTGTGGCAGCGATGAATAATAAGGAAGGAGGCAATGTCTTTATTACAGAAAGGCAAAACAAAAACAACTCGAGCAAATTGGAAATTCTTGTGGTTATACACACGTCTGTGAAATCAAAGAAAGTTATTCTCTCCGGGAAACGACGTCATCGTGATCATTATCACCATCATTATCCTCATTTTTTTCGTTTAGAATTAAGTGTTTGCTTGTATCTTTAAATAATACAAATAGTTATAATGGTGCAGTCCAATAAAATTATCTTAATAATTTAGCCAGGCGATGGTGGTGGATATGCTGAGGCACGTTGCTGTCTGTCTGTTTCTGAGCAAAGCTGTCTAGAATTGGGCAACACCTCGCCCAATGTTTACCCAGGCAACTGGAGAGCAGCACAGAATAAGTGTTTTAAACCCAACATTAAAACGAACAATAACATTTGAGAATTACCGTTAAGAGACAGACAACATATATACTATTAAAAAGAAAAATAACAAAAAAAAACGTTGATCAATGGTACTCATACTATATCTGGTACAATGTTCCAGTGTCCAAACGAGGCTATTATTAAAGCATTTAAAACACTGTGAGCACCAACTGAACACCGCGAGGGAAATGTTTGCAATGTATAAGCACTACTTGAATGCCATCGATCTGGATGAGTAATTCAGCACTGTGGAGACAACAGCTAGGGTTGGTGGATAATGCACAGATGTTGTTTGTTAAACTCCCTTCACGTGGGCGTTTACAAGAAGCCATACCCCGGCTTGCTAAGGGAATGCAGTACAGTAAAATATGGGATAGTGCTGTCCCCTTGCAGGCCTGGGTTTTCTGTGCATTTTCCGTTTTATCTCCCATAGCTAAAACAAATACTCATTGGCCAAACTGGTATAGGCCACATTCCAATGCTGAAAAATTACCTGCAAATTATTCGTTTAGGATTACGCCTGGGAACATTACCCCCTACTGTAGAAAATTGGCAGGACCTTTCTGAAAAAGCGCCATAAGATAAATTAGGCTTTGTGTAAAATTAAGCAAATATTAGCATACTTAAAAAACATCTCCAAATATAAATACAGACACATCTTCTTTAGTCCATCAACCTCCTGACTTTCCCTACCAATGTTTTCCAGTATCATTTGTTTAAGCAAGGAAACCCTGCAGGTCCGGATTTAGGCATAAGCTAAGTGACTGCAAAGGGCCTAATATTGAGGGGCCTCTAAATTCGAAAAAATATGTAAAATGAAGCTTCAAATTTTACATTTTCAGTTGTAAAAGTAAAATAAATAGGAAAAAAAAAACTCTCCTACGGTTATTTTTATTCTGGTATGACAAAAAATGTAAAGACACTTGTCCTCTTCAACTTGATTGGCATAGTTTAAGGCTCCAGAATAAAAAAATGAAATTCAGGATCTCATTAGCAAAGTAAATCTTGTTCAACAGATAACACTAGATTAACAGATGTTCTTGGCAAGAGCAATCAATACAAACGGTTGTACCCCATGAAGGAATGTATTAATTAATACATACATTGACTATTGAATGGATTTAACATTACATTCTCATGGGATTCACTATTAATAGCAAAAGAAATTCACGCCCTTTTTTTATTTTATGGACGAGGGCCTGCCTCCGTCGTGTTTGACCACTTCACCACGTTGGTTAATGTAGGTTGGTGATATCAACTCCCCAGTAATGTCGACCGTGACCTTGCAATTAACTCATTGCAAACCGCGTTCAGAGTGCTATAACTAAAACTTTATTTTTTACCAACTAGGGCCCACTGAGCTATATAGCTCTTTTTCCGAAGTGACCTGGCCACAAATGTAGCTCAACGAAGTGGCTTATCATGTGGAAATTGATTCCAACCGAAATACTCTGAACGCATGTTTATAAGTGTGCTTGGAAAAATCGGAGGACCCGGAGAAAATTCTATGCGACCACGCGGAGAACATGCAAACTCCAAATATGCAGGCGTCGGGATCGGGATCGAACCCACGACCTCCTGCATACCAGATGAGGGAGTTAACATCTCACCACCGCGGCATCTTGGTGCACTGCGAGTGGTGCAGTGTTGTGCTCCTCCAATTCAAGAGCAAACATTGATTAAATGTGTGCTCAAAACCTCCTCCAGCCTTGTTATCTGAATCTAGCTTTCGTTAAAAATCAACTACCGATTTTTTTTGTTTGAATTAACCACCAGGTGGCGCCACCGCACCGCTGTGATTAGATTTGATATGCCGTGCATAATTGAACCTTATGGTGGGACCCCGGGGTCCCATAAGCCCCCGGCTCTCGCATAAACTGCGTTGCAACGTCATTTTATGTCTGTTGAAGGCGAACGATACGGCGATATCTTCCTCTCGACGAGCCTCTACACGATGCGCTAATCAACGTTTCAAAGGTTTCTTTCTTCTGCGCATTCGTCCTCGCTGATGCGCTTGGACGACGCGACAAACAGAATGATCCGCGCCTGGTCGGTCGCGGCGTTTACGTGCGCGGTGGGACAGAGTCGTCAAAAATAAATTAATTAATTTCGACTTTTTTAACTTCCGTTAATTTGGGATCCCGGGGATCCCGCCATGAGGTTAATTTTAATAACGTGTTCATTGCAGATGTGCATGTCCGGTTAGACTTGGGCATTGAAAAAGACTGACAGGGATATGATATTTGACATTCGAAATGTATTGCTACAGATGGATACTGCATCTATACTAGACCCAAAGAGTGACCAACGTAGAAGTAATAAAACAAGTTGCACATAGAAGAAGACTTGATGCAACCAGTGATGGGAAGGAAACTGACACTGTTTAGACACAACAACATGTAAAGTGTGTTGTTTGGAAAAAATCGAAGGAACCAGAAAGAGAGGAAGACCTAACAGAGGATGGCTTGACGACAAAATAAATCGATGCCAGAGTGATGTGCACTTATTGAGCATATTGATACAATACAGAGGAAAGTGGAAACAATGACGAAATATGTAGTGGACACCTATGTGCTATCTTCCCGTTGATTGTGATGATGATGATGATATTTTAATAGATGCTTTAGTCTATTCTGTTCTTGCATGTGGCTATGTGTTCAGGAGCGAAATGCTCGTGCATTTTAAGGAGCATGGACGACAGCGGTTTACTTACATTTATATTCTCCCAAAGGATATTTAAACATTTGCCGGTGCATAATAACCAAAAGCAAAACTCAATGCACTCGAAAGTAGCACTGCCCCTGTAAGGAGGGTTGTATATATATAAAAGGGGCAACGTTTCAAGGTACAGCGTTTTTCATAATCAAGTGCATGATATACCATTGATGACCATCTTTCTGCTATGCATAAACGTGATATATCTGGGATGAAGAAGAACCGTTGCCCGAAACGTCATTAATGGGATATACATTTTTTTCTTTTTTTACATATTTGGTTGATTTCTGCCAGGCCACTGTGGTATCAAACGCTGTGGTGGG